GGCAAACAAATGATGCACATTGTGACAACATTCATAAAATAACGAAAAAATATGGTGTGATACACTTAATAAAGCAACACTATCTGATACATTGTGTTACACTTCATAAAACAACAAAAATAATTGTGATGCACTTTATAAAACAACAAAAACACACTATAATACACACTGTGACACTACTATGATAGCAGATCTGGTGGTGTTGCAGATTCGATTTCTTCACCATGCAAGATTAAAAAAAAAGTAGTCAAATAACCATATTTGATGAAGAACCACATTTGATGAAGAAGRTGATATGGGAGTCATGGGAGTCTCTTATGAGCTGGATAAAGAAAATGAAGACTTTTATGATTTAGGTATATGGTAGAGAGAGAGAGAGACGTATGAGAGAATGTTTGATTATTTTTTAAAGATTTGATTACCCTTTGTTTTATTTTAGTAAATAACATTAATTATCTATAATGATTGACTCATATTAGACCTCACAATTACCACAAACTATTCAGTTCTCACTTGATTAGGCCCCTACACACACACACACACACACACATATATATATATATATATATATATTTACATATACGTACACACACACACACACACGTATATATATATATATATATATATATTAAAGGTATAAAATAAAAATTGGAAACTATATAAACCTTTTATTTTAGTGTCATTTTAATCATATTGACGAAAACTTTCTAATGATATATTTGCCTATAAAAATATTTATTCTATTAGAATTTAATAAATTACATAAATTAATCAAAATATATAAAAGATATAAACAACTCATTAAGGTAAATTATTCATTTTTATCTGTTTTTCCTAATCATTTATGTCTTACAAAACGTTGAACAATTATTTTGTTCTATTCTGTTTTGTCTTGTTCTGTTCTGCTTGTATACATACCCAAAGGCATACAATATGTTCACAAGCTATATCAAATCTTGCAAATTTAGAGTGTGCTCACAAACTATAATAATATTTCCATAAAATATTCAAAATGTGTTCAACTAATTTCCAAAAAATAGGAGAGAATAGAAGTGGGGGGGGGGGGGAGATTTTTAATTTATGTTAGCTTTTATTTTTTGCAACGTTTGGAATTTTCGTTACTATCTTTTATTTGGAATTCATCTGTAGATATAGTTATTTAATGCTTAAGTTAAGCTCCTTTGAATGTAGTTTGGCCGTTTTAGTGTTGGCGCTTCAAAACTCAAGGAAATGAACGAATAAGAATGGAAAAGTGACCCAAGCTAGACTAAAAGCTGATCTGTTTGCTAGTTTAACTAACGATGAAACTAGCGAACACCACTGTTTGATTTCATTCAAAGTGCTCGGGTTAGTTTTAGAGCTAGTTTGTTTATTAGTTTAACTAGTGGTGAAACTAGCCAACACCACTGTTAGCGTTTTAAGAGCCGATTTTGAGGTTTTCACTCTCATTTTCTCACCAAACTCTTTTCTTTACCAAATTTCTTCCTTCCCTCTTCATCGAATACGTTTTTGGAGCATTTACTCCTCATTTCCAACCAACCCAAGAGCATTTACACCTCATATAGGTTAAGGATTCAAGTCTAGCCTTCAAGATCCAAATGTGTTCATCTCCTTCCCCAAGCTTTCTTGATTTTCTAGGTTTTCATCAAAACCTAGTATTGCGAGTTCATCCTTTACTTTTATAAAATCATATACATCTATAATATATTATAAAACATTTGACAAAATCTATTAAAAACCATTTTTATGCATAAAGTACGGTTTCTTAATGCATATTACTTAAAATTTAAGATTACAAGTAAATTGTGCGTAAGTACAACTTATTAAAGCTCTATTTTGAATTCGTATAATTAACTGCAGATAAACTTAATCAAATACAAGATAAATTGAATATCTTATTTTAAATATAAAAAATTTAAAATTTAATTATGATAATCATTGAGTTCTAACAGAATCATTATCTTTATAAAAAATTATATTGTTAAACCGAAAAAATAAATTACTAAATTATAATAAAGAATTGAATTAAATAAATTGTACAAAAAAATTTGAACTTTTAAATAGTTAATTTGATTTAATATCGATATATTTTTCCAAATTTTTATATCTTCAAATATATTTTTATTCAAAAGTAAAAACATTATATTTATTAAAACTATATAAACCGTACTATATCAATAGAGACAAAAAATAAAACGAAACATTAAAGTGAAGATGTATCTCGCTGCTTTGCACGAATACCGTTCTAGTGTTAAAATAATGTATTTTACTTTCTTTAAGTTTCCATTTTTAAGTATTTTGCATTTGGTTGATTTTGGACCATCTAGGTCAAAGTTGGGGATTCTGGGGATTTTGTATATTTTAATGAAACAAGCATGGGAATAGTTTTAAACCCTTGAAAAATGATTATTTCAAAGTCTTTGATGAATTTGGAAATCAAACCTATAATATTCATACATTTGGGCCTTGTTGATAAAAATGAGATTTTAACCACTATATTTGTATACAAGAGTATCTATAAATGGTGATGTTTGATATATCTATATATATATATATATATATAGAGAGAGAGAGAGAGAGAGGGGGTTGGTTATTATACAACCCTTGACATTTATGCAACCAATACAATCCAATCTCAACCATCCATTTCATTTCATTAATATGTGATTTCATAGAAGTTTTGATTGTTTCCTAATATAAAGTATTGATCATAATTAATAAACCATATTCATCTTCCATAAATATTCAAATCATAATAAATGAGCTCTCATCATTTCCATAAATACCTCAATTTTTTGGGTTGCATTGGTTGTACAAATGCGATGGATTATATTTGAAACAATCTCTCTCTCTCTCTCTCTCTCTCTATATATATATATATATATATATATATATATATANTCTCTATATATATATATATATATATATATATATATATATAGCTAGAATGCAATTGATCCATAGACATTTAAGTCGGTTTTGACGAGTATGTTGGGGTGCTATTCCCTAGTTGTAACTTGAAATAGGCATTGGGTCTTAATAGGCAACAAGATGTAGACCTTTGAAGTCGGCTATCGGCCAATGACTATATAATGTAATTTCTAAGTGAATTAGCTTAACTAGACTTATGGAGTTCTCAACGTAAGGACCTATATGGTTGATGTTGGGAACATATACAGGCGAGAACTTGATTTAGTTGAGCTTGTCAATTCATTAAACTACTAGAAGGATACTCGTGCAATACAATGAGATACATCGAGATGATGTTTTGACTTATTTTTTTGTCTCTGTCGATATAATATGGTTTTATGTGATTTTGAGAAAACGATAATGTTTTTATTCATAAAAATTTGAAAAATATATATCGATATTAGTATCAAATTAACTATTCAAAAATCCTCGTTTTTTAATTAATTTCTTTAATTCAATTTTTTTTATTATAATTTAATTTAAGTTTAATAACGAAGTAATTTATTTTTGGTTTAATAATATAATTTTTATGATGATAATACTTAAGTATTATGTTATAAGTATAACTCAATGATTATCTTAATTATATTTTAGATTTTTTATATTTAATATGATATGTTATCCTGTAGTTGATTATGTTTATATGCAATTAGTTACACGAATTCAAACATGAACCTTTAATAAATTGTAATTACGCACAATTTACTTGTAACCTCGAATTTTAAGTAATATGTATCAATAAACAGTACTTCATGCATAAAAATGGTTTTTAAAAGTATTTGTGAAATATTTTATAATATATTATAGATAAGACCTAGAGTGGTTGATCTTAGTTATTGATCATTCATCAGTGATACTTATATAACATTGAATCGTGACTTACTCTTGTGTTCCGTCATGATTAATGAAAATCGGGTCTCCCCCTTCATCTCCGAATGATTTATGCCCTTCCAAGGGTAAGCATGAGTTAAAATGTACAACCTACTTGATTAAAGCTATATTTTCCGTTTTTAAAGTTTTATAGCTTTTTCAGTAACTTTTTATTCTCACTAGGGGTTAAGTCTAACATTTTTTTCTCAAATGACATGTATATCAGGTTCTCTTAACGGTGGGCCTCCCAAAGGTTGAGTGGAGTATTCTAGCCGGTGGTGACATTTTTGGGAATTACGTCCTTGAGCGTATTTGTGGAATTAACTATATATTTTTTTTTGAGGATTTTAGCGACACCCGAATAAAATCTACATTTCAAATTGATATAGATTATTAGGTTGTTGACTACCATCCTTTATTCAGATATAAACTCTTACACTATTTTCCCATTAATCGAATGATTTCATCTTAACGTATGTTTGCGTGTGCAAAACTAACCACGTTTATTTACAGTCCTGCCACAACATTTTGTAAGGCATCAAATCAAGCAAAAAAACTCATCGGAGGGTTATGAAAGGGGTCTTACAGTTATCAGGAGAAAAAATCACGTTTGATAGTCTTGTTTACAACATCGAGAAATTGGTTCAAAAGATTAATAACCATCTTAAAATGTGGTTAAAAATTGAAAATTTTGATATTTGAAATTTTTCGTACAAATGAGGCAACTTGTCCAACTCAGTCCTGTAAACTCCCAGTCATGCAATTGCCAAACACCAGACATACAACTTGTCATATCAAGTCCTATTATTTTGTCTTGTCCAATCATGTCATATCATGTTTTGTTCAGTTATATTCGATCATTTTCAGTCATGTCTAAGTACCAAATGCTATCTTATCTAAAAAAGGTGAACGATTTATATAAATCTTTAAGAAAATACACAAAAAAAAAAAAACTCATCCATCATGATAGTTTGAAAAATGAATAACTTTGTTGAAATGGGGTTAAAAGTTGAAAATGTTGATAGTAGAAGGGCCAAACTTGTTAAAAATAAGAATGGGATCTCCTCTTTCCGTATCGACAAAAACATCTGAAATTGTGTTTGTGTCCGTGTACCAAACTCTAAACTGCCGGCGAGTAATTCGGTCTACAAGCAAACCCTCTCGAGAACATTGGTTGACTTTTTAATGCCGTTAGTTTAGCGTTAACTCGCCGTCGTACGTCGTTAGTTTACCGGTGGCTCCTTTTCTAAATGTGATGGTTGTTCTCACTCAGGCACGGCAGCTCCGCCTCTCTCCGCCACCGTCCTCTACTATCTCCTCCATCCTTTACGACCCTACGTCTCTAGCGCTTGCTCTCATGCACTCTGACTCTTCTTTCTCTCTTTACCCTTCCATCTCCCCTTTCTCTCCGTCTCCTCTCCGTTCCGCCACCACCACCACCGTCGTCTCTCCTCCGTCATCCTCCGCTACCTTCCTCCGCCTCCGCTCTACCGATACGTCTCGTGTTCTCTTCCTTGTCTCCTCCCCGCACCTTGCCGGGAGCTCGATACTCCTTCGTTTCTATATCCTTCGAGCCGACAACAAATTCGCTAGGGTTAGGGTCATTTGTAATCAAAGTGATTTGAGTTTTGATGAGAGGAAATTAGGGGTTTTGTTTAGGGTAAATCATGGGGTTTCAATTAAGCTCACGGGGTCAATTAATGTCTTCGCGATGTACTCCGTTTCTGACTGTAAAGTTTGGGTTTTCGCGGTGAAGATTGTGGAAGAGAGAGATGAGGTGAAGTTGATGAAAAGTGCGGTGATTGACTGTGATTTGCCTGTGTTTTCGATTAGTGTTTCTGTTGGATTTTTGGTGTTGGGGGAAGAGAATGGAGTTAGGGTTTTTCCATTAAGACCTCTTGTGAAGGGTGAAATTAAGAAAGAACGTAGGCGTGAGATAAGCAAGAAAGCTGACAAGTTGGAGGTGCAGAAGATCAATTTGCTGAATGGCATGATTCCTGGAACCAATGGAAGCTCGATGCTGTATGTGAAGTCTGGAAAAGTAGGTGGTAGTAGCAACAAATGCATAAATGTCAATGGTAACATGGAACAAAAGATTGGGAAACATTCTGATCATACTGGTAAGTGCATATTCTGTTTGTTTAACCTATTTAGGTATTTGAAAGCATACTTTATATGAATTGCTACATCTTGCTGCATGTGGTTTTTTTCTTTGGACAAAAATTGTAATTACAAGACTCCATTATGCTCAGAAAAGATTTATGGGGTTATCAGTTCTATCCTTGCAACCTGCAAGTACCACATATCGATAAGCTTGATAGGTCCATTTGAGGTATAGATTACTTGACAACTAAGGTGAACAGTTACTCTAGATACACATGGTTTAAAAAGCCACGTTTGCTGTTAGTTGTAGATCTTGCCAATTTAGAATGAAGTTATATAAACCGCGCAGCTCTAAGCATGTGAGAGGCTGGGAGTAAATCATTGTTCTTAAAGGACTGGCATAAGCCCAAGGGGCAGCCAAAGCAAGGAGCAGTTTTTTTGTTTGGTTGAATATAAGAAAAAGATTACGTGTTTATTGCCTTTTTTACACCATTATGCCCAGGCGTCCTTTTACATCTTGTTCTATTAGTTTTGGATCAATAAGAGGGATGCTTATTCATGATATTGCTTAGGCATTTATGGTGTGATTCCCGCCTCAATTTTTTGATATTGTAGACGAGTCGTCATTTCCTCTTTGCCATTTTTCTGGAAGGGTGTCCCAGGCTATGCCTGGACTAATCCCGGTAAATTGAGACTGCAAGAAATCAACCCGGGATCCCTGATAAACTCAATGACCACAATTGTTATGCATGCTTGGAATCGGACCCTGGGCAGATGGGATATTCTGTTAGAAATCTTTGCTTGGAATCCACTGAAAGTCGTTTTTCACTTTCAGATTGAAGTATTTCGATGGTACAATCGAAATCTCAATCGGATAAAATTCAGTGACAGAACTTCAAATCTCTGATTGTTATGAAATCTGTGTACCACCCTCTCTCAAATCCGCGAAAAAAGACCAATTCGAAAATTGAAGAAAACGTGAAAAAACTGTCAAAAACAGCAGTTTTTTGCGCACGAAGTCGGGTTTTAAAACCGGGCCAAAAACCGGGTTTAAAATCTAAAACCGGGCCAAAAGCCAGGGGCTCTGCCCCTTGGACCCCGCCACCGGGGGCGCTGCCCCCGGACCCCCGTCGTTTAGGGGCTTCACCCCTAAATCAAAATAAACTCAAACAAGTGTGCACTCCGCACCTTCCTTACTTGTTCAATATTTATCATGATTACATTGGTCAACAAATTAATCCCATTACACTTAAATGATATTAGTGATACTAATCACCAACATATTCCACCACATCCCCCAGGACCTCAACCACTATGCCACAACCCTTGTGGTTCTCTTTGCCATTCTTATATCCCTAAAATATGTTTTTGGCGTTGTTACTTCTCCATTTGCTTTTATTTTACAGTTGAGGGTTATGTGTCAACTATAATATATTTCTTACATATGCTAAATTTTAAGTGTGTTTTATGTAATTGTGGCCCATGGAAATGACGGATGGTGGAAATACAAGGCAAAGACAGAAATTCAAGTGATGATTTATATAGGAAATCATGTATTGGTATTTATAGTTTAGCTTCCAGTGTCTAGATCAAATAGGTGTGTAGATGATTCGATATTCCTTTATAATTTAGGGCTATTAAATAGATGAGATTAAATATAGTATTATATCACACTTCGATCTCTCAGCTGATCCCCTGCAGGGCTAGACAGCAGTCTTCTCTTCCACTCCTTTTCTTTGTAGGTATTTTCTCTTTTATACCATCCTCTATACACTGTCCATTGGCTTATATGTCCCAAATGGCTAATATATCGCTTACTTACTGCTACTTTTAATACTCCAAGTCTGGTAATATGTCAATCACTATGACAAATTTTCCCGTTTGCACTTCGTCTCAAGAAGGTTCAAGTTTCTTGTCATGGGCCTCAAAAGATAATTGGGACTCTGTACAGCTGGTGTTGATCAACTAGCAAGCCAGTAATCTCACCTGTCATTTTAGCTTTCATACACTTGATAAATAAGTCAATTGAGCATGTCAATGGCATTATTTCTTCTCAAAGCAATAAGCAATAGCACCTGTGATGAAGTGAGACTGAGAGCAACTTTTGTTTGGATTACCATTATGCTTCCAGTTATGTTGTTTAAAGTTTTGTCAATAGTTCTTAGAGATTGTATGTTTTAGCAATCTGGCATTACACTTTAAGCTCTGAAAATTCATGGCAAAATCTGTTGGCTGTAGAATCAGTGTCGTTTGGGTCTTAGGTATGACTTTAAGAGTTTGAAGGTCTGTAATGAGTTTCTATGGGTAGCTTAATCTCATTTTCACCTATTATGCTGGTTGCACTTGTTTCTGTGGCTCAGTCTAAGCTCTGTTTATCACTTTCATCTTATTGGCATGCCTTTAAAGTCTGAACTGGCAGGGGCTGGGGTATGGTATCAGCTCTTTGCAAGTTAGAAAAAGTAATGAACATGCCACAGCCTGTGTTCATGCAGTTTATGCACTCTGAGTCATGTGATTAATGACTAGAGTCTGTAAGTGAGTTTCTGAGGCTTAATCCAAGCTTCCTTCTCATTTTCCTTTCTGTGGTTGCTGTGCAATTTATATTCCCTTTAAACCAGCATGGCTTGTTCCAAAAGCACTTTGGCTTGCTTTTCATTGAAAGTTTACCGTCTATCATGGGCATAACATCCATACTTTTGATCATGTGTTCTTCTCTTTCCCCCTTTTGTGCTAGAGCATAAGATAAAACCAAAGAAAGTGAGGAGCTGAAAAGATAGGAGAAGAGAGGGGGTCAATCTTGGGAATTCACACTTACCTTTACTCCGAATATGATGAGCAATGAAGATTGCTTAACTAGTTATAGGTGGTTTGAAATACACAGCAATACTACTTCCATAGAAGGTGGTTTGAAATACACAGCAATCGTCTTTATTCTTTATGACAACTTACTGCTCCAAATTGTAACTAGTCGCTACACAATAAAAAGTCATTATAGTGAAAAGTACTAGTACATTCTTAATTAAGGATTGTTATAGTTGAGTTGTCAACAATGTTCAACTCAAACTACTTGATTTTGAAGTCCCAAATAAATGACCACTGAGACAGGGTCTCTGCTATTCAACACAAATGACTAGTTTTTTAATCTGGTAATCCATTTTGACTAATCCATTTGGTCTCTAACTAATTTATTCCGTCCATGTACTTTATGTATCATACAAAACAAGTGAGCAGAAATACGAAGTTTTGGAGGAAACTGGCCACTGTTTGTTGTACCTCTTAATAGTTCCATTCAGGGGCAGCCTCTGAATCACTAAGAGTGAATCTTGTTTGGCAAAAAAAAAGGTTTGCCTCTTAATGGTTCTAAAACCCTCTGAATGATTTTGTATCTTAGGCCTCCCTGAACCATTAAGCTCCCTAATTTCCTGAACAGTTACCAAACAACCATATTTCATTTTGCACTATATCATAAGAGCCTCTTAATCATTCTGACCACTTAATCATCCTGCACCAAACCATTCAGCAACTGCCAAACAGCTAACTCATATGAGCCATCCAGAGAAGTAAAAGCTACTTGTTCAAGCTGGCTTGTTTCTGAAAGTAATCTTGAACTAAATTCTAATATTCTTCTTCGGCTCATTAATAGTCAAACTCTGTTTCATTTTTTCTCTTCATGTAGTTTCTGTGACTTTCTTACTTCCCTCCTTGAGTAAGGCTGTGAAGCCCGACATTATAAAGGCAAGTATTGTCGCTTCTTGTGTGGTACACTTCCACAAGTTCTCCATGTCCACTTTTCTCATGTACAGTTGTACAAACATCTGCTCCGTCTTTTTCTTTCTCATGTGGGTTCTCTAGGGATTTTAAAGCAGATGGATTGAGTTACAGGGATAGTGCACATTTTCATATGGTAGTTGTACAGGCAAGGTAAGTTGAATACTGGCTTCGATTGGAAAATTATTGCAAAGTGGCATCACAAAGTTGATCAGTTAAGGTTATGTCAATACTGCTACTCTAAACATAGAATCATATGTAACTCGTATAATATCCATATTTTTATAGATAAAATGCCTTGTTTTTTATCGACGTTTAGTTCTGTACTTCTGTTACTAATTAATCATGATAAATACTAATTTGTTAGTTCATGTCTGCTGATCATACATTGTACAGGGACAGCAAAGTTAAAATCTGTGAAAATAAGACAAACCTCTAGAGAAGGGGGAGTTCGTTTTGTGGCATTTAAGAGCAAGGAGTTTGAGAATTGCAAATTCTCAAAAGTACCATTGACATCAAGAAAGGCAACTTCCATCCACTTTTTAGCCCATAATAAGTTTCTGATCTTAGACTCCGTTGGAGAGCTGTACCTGCTATTACTATCCAATCTTGTCTCTGGATCGGAATCGACTTGTGACATGAAGAAGTTGACTCTCACGATGAAAGTTCAGAATCTAGCCGTTCTTCCTGATGATTCCACAAGTATGCTGCCTTTATTTCTTTGCTTTTATGTAAGCCAGATGCAGCCTTGTTTGATTTATTGTTCATGGTTATGATCTCATGGATTCACAGAAAAGTAGTTATCTCGAGTTATGACAGTTCAGAACTCGTTAAACATTTTGCTCTGACCCTAACTTCATGGGAAAACCATTACATGTTTTGTACACATATTTTCTGATTCTAATGCATATTTCTTCCTAAATTGCAGGAGCTCAAACTGTTTGGGTATCAGATGGGCACTATACTATACATGCAATGGTGATATCTGACACTGATGACGATGAAGAAAAGATTCAAAGCTCAGGTACTCTAAGTTGTGAAGATAAAATATAATTAACAAAACATAAAATATAATGAAAATGAAATAAAGAAGTATAGAATGGAGAACAACTTTTTTTTTTTGAAGTATATAATAATTATATACGGCAAATAGAACAAATAAACTCGCACATCCTCCTCACCTATGGTGAGATTTGAACCCCTAACCTTCTAGGAGGCCAAAGACTCACATACCGCTAGGCCAAAGGCCCTTTGGTAATTGAGAAACAACTTACATTCCTCAGAGGAAATGGATTTGGACTATATTGATCTGAAAGTGGTTTCATTTATACCCTGATTCTGAGTCTCTTTTTGGTTCTTGGGCAGCCATTGAAGTGATATTTACCAGTGAGAAGATTCAAGAAATTATTCCTTTAGCCGCCAATGCAATATTACTGCTTGGACAAGGTACCTTGTGTTATGGCCGTAAATGTGATCACTTTATTGAAATGATTTTATCACTGATTATGTCTTCTGATTTTGTTTTTTTATTAATTTCCTATTTTTGCAGCCAATAACATCTTTGCTTATGCAATATCGTAATGATGATGGGTGATTTTCTTTCCAAACTGGTATGCTAATTTCCTGCTTTCAGTTTATTGTTATTAAGCACGTGATTTGTGATCATGCTATGACTATGCAACCTTTCATTTTCTTGTTATGGTAGAATTACTTACTTATGATCATTCGTTTTTTTCTATATATAGAATTTCAGGGCGTATATCTTCGATCACATGTTGATGACTTGTTCCACTTATGAAATTCCTGGATTGGCCTTTTTGTTTAAAAGAGTAAGTTTAGAGTATCCTCGTCAAATACCATTATGAATACAAGCAGTAGGTATTTACCAATAGAGTGATTGATTCTTCACAGAAACAGCAGCTCTATTATTTGGGTGGAGGTCAGATCTCAATCCCTCCCAGGCCCCACCTTCGGGGTGGGATATATGGGTTGGGTTTGTTTGTTATCGATCGACACTTTAGAACATCGTACTTTGCAACAAACCATCATTCTTGTGAAAAATGCCCAAAAAAAAATTAAAGAAGGAACATTACTGGTTGCCAGAATGAATAATTTTGGACAAAAAGTTCCAAGTATGGTGTTCTTTTACATGTTCACCATTTGTCCCAACCGTTCAATCTTGCAAACCACAGTGCTATCAAATCACTACTTACCAATATGAGATATGTCAATATGAGATATGACATAAAATTTAACACTTGCCAATTTGCCATTATCCAGTCCCCGAAGACTTGAAACAAAATTTAAGCATTTAAAAGACTAATCTAATCAATGGCCTTGAATCTTTTCTTGCCATTAAATTTGATTGAGCCTATTGCTGTCAAACATATGAATGGTAAATTGCTATTTATATCTATGTGCCTTTTTGTCATTTGACATTGCAGGTGGATGCCGAGTGTTCTCTTCCGACCAACATGTCTCATTGTTATATCTGACCAATCACAAGCTTCAGTTGTCTCTTATACTTACATAGTGTGAATGTTTCAGGCAACACTGAACTCTTGAAGGTAAGATTTAGAAACTTCTTCCAATTTGAAGCAATCAGTCATTGGACTTCTCCCAGTCCCAAAAGAGTCTGGTTTGGTTTTGACTTGAGATATCCAAACCTAGTCACTTTAGGCTTCAAATCTGACCGAATCCTATCCTCCAAAAGTTGCTATTCTGAACTACACCGTCCCATGAAAACTGCAACATTTTATTTTGATACATGGTTTTGAAGTAGAGATGCACAAAAAGCCCGATTCCCGAATCCCGGGCCTAAAATCCGACCAGGCCAAGTTTTTTTGTTTTTCAAAAGCCCGAAAAAGCTGGCGTGAAAAAGCCCGGGCCTGGCTGAGGATTTGTGCATCTCTAGTTTAAGGAAAATGTTTGCCTATTAGGTGTTGCAATTTTGATCAAATATCCCAATTAAATTCTACAACTTAGACAATTCACAATTGTATAGTTTTTCATTGAAAATGTGGGACCCACCAGCAAAAACAAGCTTTTTGGGAGCTTGTAACTACACAAGCAAAAGGAAGAGGGGGATTTTGTCAGGAGCTTTTTCACAAGCTTTAGGAGCCAAAAAGCTCCACCGGAGATGCTTTTAGATGGGACATAGGGAATAGTTATTTATATACTGCCTTCGTCCCAGAATAAATGTTAACATTTCTATTTTTGTTTGTCCCAAAGTAATTGTCCTCTTTCAAAAGTAACTATCTGCATTCCAATTCTACCCATAGTTTTGCGATAGAGATATTCATTAGTGCCTCTATTTTTAAGGGTAAAATTGTCATCTAGTTACTTGAAAGTGTAATGTTTACACATTTCTAAAACTCATTTGGCACCCAAAAATGAAATTTGAATTGGGTTTTTGGACCTAAACATGATCATTTTGTTCATATAGGTTTAATAAGATGAAAACCATTAGTTTATACATCCTCATTTTTTACTGTTCTAACCAGAGAATGTTATGAAACCAGTTTGGGGGATTGCTGTTTGAGTTTTATCGTGGGCAGGAGCGAGTTTCTCCATGCCACCTATGCAAGTAACATGCTTCCAAACACAGCAAAGACACACTCGTGACTAATTGCATCGAACTTCGACTTCTGGAACTCAAGTCCACAGTGGGAGGAATGACTCACCGGAAGTTTAGAAGGTGTGTGGTTTATCATAATGCATCATAAGACATTGCTTTTTGCAATTCTGCAGCCTCATGCCATCTGCTGCTGATAAATTCTTAAAAAAACTTGTTGGTTTCTTCGAAAAAACGACCCATCTTTTTCATAAATTAGTAAGCTCGAAGACGAGTAAACATGTCTTCCTCTGAAACCCTCCTCAATGCCCTCATTATGTTCCATTTTCTTGTTTGAAATCCGCGCTTTTTTTTATTCGAGCAGCATAAGCAACATCAAGATTATGTTATTTGAAGTTAGTCCGAACTTTTTGATGCTTGAAGTTTCTTAATAATTCCCTTGGTAAATTTTACTTGGTTAAAGTCTATGGTATTCAGGAATGTTATCCTTCCTAGACCCTATCTTTCCATACCGGGTTCGTTTGATTTGGTTCAGTTTATGGGAGTCGAGAATGTTGGTCGGTACAGAACCGGTTTGAACCAGCTGGAAAATTGGACTGAGAAATGTCGCTTTGATTCTGTTTTTCAACTGTTATGTTTGACTCCAGGCTATCTGTAAAGCAGGTGGTCGTCCTGAGATTAGGCGGCTCGCATAACAGGTTGGATGTCCAGATTAATAAAAAAAGTACATCTAGGCAATGCGGCTGTTGAAATTTTAGTCAAAATATCTCATCCATATTTCTTATAAAATTGTTTTAAAAAATCTGAAAATAAATGCAATTAGAATAGGGATTTTGGTTGTCTCGTATTTATTTAATCCAAGAGTAAATAGACTAAAATACCCTTATTTTCTCCTTTTTCTATAAATTAATTATAAGATCCGTGAGGATCAATATAATCCACTCATTTAAATAGATTGTTTTATAATTTCATTAATGGTAAGGGGTGATTTAGTAATTTAATAAAATGAAACAAATTAATACATTTAATATAATCAATTCTCTTGAACATAGTAAAATAAGAAATTGAAAGATTGGTCGTTATGCTCATTACTGAACTTGTTGAAGAGATGTCCGGAAGACTTTAAATAACGAATATGAATATTATTCAAAAGAAAGCAAAAGCGATTTCCGTAGTAGCGGCGAGCAAAATGGAAGCAGCCTAAACCCTGAACCCTACTTTGTAACCCTAATCGCACCATTTTTTCGACCTGGATTACAGCTTCGGTAAAGTTCGGGAGGAGATCGATCAGTGTAGAGATGAGGAAAGGGGCGGTGTTGCTGATGAGAGGAAATAACCGCACAATTTTCGATATACCACAAGGACCAAATTCGTAATTCACTCTATATCATAATTTGCTTTCTTATCATCTTGGTCATAATATATCAAAATTATCATGTGAATCAATTTTGAATGACTCGTTAAACTACGAAGATAGACTATGATCATATTGTCGCTAACAACGATTATCTCATCACTGTAGTGTAATCCAATTTAACCATAGGTCTCGAGGGTTTAATTCCTAGTCATACAGCCATCGATTAAGATCAGAAAATGTTGACCACGATTTCTTCAATGATTATTTCCCAAAAATCTCGAATTTCTAAGTTGAATTTTGGTTGGTGATTTTAGAGAATTCGTAGTTTATTTCTTTTTATGTAGTGTACTCTCTATTTGTGGAGGCACTCATGTTTAAAATAGATACAAAAAAGTCAAAACAATTTTACCATATTTAGTCATTTATGTTCAGATATAAATTTTGGGTTTTTATTGATTAATCCCATTAACTTTTCATTCTCAACTTATAATAAAACTTTACATCTCTTTTCACCACATCATAAATACAAAATATCATATTAGGTTTGAGCTAGAGATAAAAATTTGACTAGTGAGGTCGGTTACTTACCAGTACCCCTGATTCAAGGCAGGAGCATAGCTGAGTTCCTCATACCGAACCAGATTACCCCCAACCCCCTCTTGAACCCGTCGATATTTGCTAGAATGGAGGCAGGAACAGAAGGCATAAACAAGGAGCAGGGTCGGGGTCAAGAATGGGGGCGCATTCTCCGTCCCATTTCCATCTCTAGTTTGAACAACCTAATGTCATTTAAAATAAAAATTATAAATGAACATATCACATGTTCAATCGTATATGTAATAATGGAATAAGGTACAAATTTTACAAATTCATCATAACTTATATTTTTGGAGGAGGGAATTCAGTAATTAAGGATTGTATACTAAATTTTAAAAACATCTTCATTAGGGGTTTCAAAAACTCGACCAACCCGATCAACCGAACCAATGCGAAATTACTCAACCAGAAGCAACCCAATGTTTAATCGAGTTGTAAAATTGTCAAACCGTAAGTATCGGGTTGATATTGGGTTACTATTATTTGAATCCAACTCAACCCGATGAACCCGATATCCTTTCATTTCTTTGATTTAATATGATTGTTAAATTTCTATTAATATATACATTACACAATTACACTATCATGTATGCTCTTCATATACACATATTTTCAATTTATTCACATCTTTATATAACTCATTCGTATATATGTTCAGTAATTGTGAACATATATATGTAAATTGAGAAAATTAACTGAATGTGTGATATAAGTAAGAAGTATGGATAAGTTGTATCAAATGGTTGATGATGAAAAAAAATTATGAGTAGAAAAATAACATATTTAAGGTTAGAAGATTATTTTGATGTACCAAAATATCAACCCGACCAACCCGTACGGGTTGGGTTGGGTTGCACTTTAGTTTGGGTTGGATTGGGTTGGGTTAAGATTTTTCAAACCGCAAACATTGGATTGAGTTGTTCAAATGTCTTCAACCCGATCAACCCAACCTGTGAGCATCCCTAATCTCTATAACAATACAAGGGAGGATCATACATGTTAGTCTTTTCCCCGACATTGTCACTACATGTAGGCCTCATATGCATCTATTTAGACTTAAAAAGGTTTGTTTATATATTATTTTTAATTTTTTTTATCCACAAAGATGGTGACTGATTAATTTGAGCTCAGACTTCAAAAATCAAAAGTGCCTGAAGGTCTCAGGTTCGAATACAAGGAGGAATAAAAATCCTCTTATGGTCATGAAAATTCAAATGTGGTGACTCTGGACTACCCACAAAAGTGGGTGGTCGTCCTGGAATTAGTCGACTCGCATAACGGGTTGGATATCCCAATTTATAAAAAAAAGGTTTGTGTTATTTTTTTTTGAATTAATTTAATGAATTATATGTTTAGTCATTATTCGTTAAGCAATGTGTGTTGTTTCCTAAAGTTTCTAATACTGACCAAAATTTGTAGAATTAGATAAATAACTATGTATCTGTTTCACATATTAATTATATCTTATATCAGACATGTCTTAATAGAAAGAAAAAATGCATATATTTCTGTTTATCATCGTGTATCCGATATCTGAACTTTAGATGATTGTACTTCAAAATATTATTTTTTTATAAAAAATACTCAAATACATAACAAAACTCTGGTTTTCAACTATATCATATCTATCTGTAAAACAACTGTTTTCGTAAAAAAAATCTGACCTATGGAAGATGTGAGCAGTCGTCTACTAAATGTTTACCACGTAAATGCTTATTGGTAAGATACATCATTTTCACTTACCTTCTCATGTAATATTCTTGACTATCAAAATGAAATCGTTGGTAAGGGTTTTAAACCCGTTAAGCTTTTACCTAGTAAGAGTTTTTTTTTTTTTTACTTGTCTGGTAAGACTATTAGTCATGGCTATACCTTTTACCGGGTAAGATTTTTTATCCTATCAATTCGCAAATGCTCAATCAACAAGGTAAGTAATATCGATATGGGTAAGTGATTATTGGATCATTTTACCTTATCAGATGGACATAACAAATATTGAGAATTTTACCCGGTAAAAGCAATGACAATGATCGAAAGTGTTACCATGTAAATAAAGGTACGACCTTTACCCAATAAGCACTTATCGAATAAATTATTGCATACGATGTCGTTTCAATGGATTAAATTTTTAGTTCATAAATTGAGTTAAAGTGTTAATTCTTATCGATAAGCATTTACGGGATAAGATTTTACTGAACCACCCTTGCTTCAATTTGTAAAATTAAAGGGGTGTTTGGAAATGTTTATAAAAATAACTTATTGACTTATTTCGGTGTGGTATCGGTAATAATCACTTTTGAATGTTTGGATAAATAACTAATACCGGTACTAAACTGGTAATAAGAAGATTTTAAAAAAGTTAAACTCTTCTGACTTATAATAAATTGATAAGTACTTTTAGAAAAAAAAACATAACTCAGTTTCAAATAAGCAATCCCAATCACCCTAAGTTATTAAAAAATTTATTTGTAGTTAACATAATGCCACGTCATCAGAAATTTGGCGCTTGGAACAAAACTTCATCCATCTTCTTCTAACGACATCCTCTTATTTTCAGTGTGTGTGAGAGAGAGTGATCCCGGGCGCCATGACAACGAAAGCATTAACTGCATCCATCGCCGGAGGAGGTAACATCCTCTGTTCTCATCGCTCCGGCAACCACCAATTTATCTCTTTGAATCAGTTTTCGCCGTTGAATCTCCGACGGAGCTCCAGTAACCTAGCTAATCAGGATCATTTTCTTCAAAAGCCTAAAACGTATCTTAGATTTAAGTTTGTTATCGCTAGAGCGGCCGATTCTACTCAGGCGCCGATTCCTGCGGCAGCTATCGGTGGCAAGTCGGTGGTTGAAGACGAAGAGTTTTCGCTAGCAAAGGTACTCGCTACCATTGTGTTTTCAAGGTGTAAGGATATGCTTCGGACATTGATTAGAGTCTGCTACTTGCTTTACTTGAAAATTTTGAGGAATTTAATGTTTCTGTTTCAAATAAGTTCGTGGAGAGATATACATGTGTTGAATGTTGAGTAATTATTGAAATTAGTTATGGAAAATTGGAAAAATTATAGCACAGATTACTCAGGCCCATAGTAAAAAGCAATAAGATGAAGATCTTGAGAAAGAATAGCTCTAAATGAATGAAAACCTAGAAACAATGCATAATCCTTTGTTTAGTTATCCGGCAATGAATCTCTACATTAATTTTCAAAAAGTGTTCTAATCTTCGATTTGGAACTAGAAGGCTGAAAAAAGTTAGGCTGTATGCTTGCCAATCTGCTTCTCCTAATAGTATTGTGTTCTAGTCGTTCTTGGTTATTGATAAAAGGAAGTTTTAAACCTCTTTAAGTGTCAGATCATGGTCATTGGCTTGGAGTGTACATGTTAAATCATTCAACCACTTATCTAGCCATTTACTGGTATCCTCAAACGTCTGAAGTGTGCTTTCATTGCATCTTTTCTGCAGGTCTCATTTGGTGTTATTGGACTAGGTCTTGGAGTCTCACTCCTGTCGTAAGTACCCTACTGTATGATTATACTTTACATTTTAAGCTGCACCTTGAATCAGTGCAGAATGGAAACGAAAAACCCTATATGTCCAGAAAGTGAGCAACTAATCCTCATATGAGAACTTGTGTTTTTTCAAAGTTGCAGGGTTTTTCATTGTGTATATGTGTGTCTCTTGCCCCTATAAATTATAGGCACTTTCCCTATAGTGTATTTGTTGTGAGGAAGTTAAAGGCCTTGCATTCCTGACATTGTGTTGCCTATGCCTTACAGTTACGGTTTTGGGGCATATTTTAACATTCTCCCTGGATCTGAATGGTCTGCATTAATGTTGACATATGGATTTCCTCTTTCAATCATAGGGATGGCTCTTAAGGTGAACCATTGATGCTTTGCTTTCTTATCCTTCTCTTTTATTTAGCATTTTGAGGCAACCTGATAAATATAAGATTATAACCACAAGGGTGGTGCCTGATTGGTTTGAGCTTGGCTCCAAAGGTCAAAAGTACCAGGAGGTCCCAAGTTCAAATCCAAGGAGGAATAAAAATCCCCTTGTGGCCACAGAGGTTCAAATGCGGTGACTCCGGGCTATCTGCAAAGCAGGTGGTCGCCCTGGGATTAGTCGGCTCGCATAGCGGGTTGGATATCCAGGTTAAACCAAAAAAAAAAAAATTTGTACTGCTTGTGGCTGGGGAAATAATGTTAAATAGTAACATTCTGTTGTGAGTGTGCACGATGCATTAAACCAGTGTATGCCATTTTTGTAGTACATGCCATTTATAATGACAAGCTAATGCTATTTTTGTTCCTGTATGCTAAATGTATTACATTTTTACAGTATGCAGAACTCAAACCAGTCCCATGTTTGACTTACTCTGATGCCCAGATGCTGAGAGAAAAATGTGCGACTCCCATCCTTAAGCAGGTTAGGAAAATATTGTTTTGCAGTATGCTGTCAATGCTTCATAGAGACAAATGACTCAGGGTGTACTGGTGTCATTATGTTATTGTGTAGTAATTAATTAAGTAAATAGTTGGTTAATGTTCTCCACATACTGACATAATTAACCATGAAAGGTTACATTAAAGGATAGTGCAAGGCTCGTTTATCCCCCTACCTAAATTCTACACGCATTCCCCCAAAAAAAAATTCATCAAACATTATCTACTTCATGCTCTCATAAGAAGAAAAGTAATTTGAAATGGATGCACATATCTGTCAATCTGTCATCATCCCCTCTTTCTCTTTTAGAAAAAATAATCAAGATGAGATAAATTAAACGATAAAGTTTTAATCTTTATAAACAAAGTTTAACTCTTTAATCCAAAAGATTATAAAAATTAAACCTTTATAATTAAAGACGGTAACTTAATATTCGGAATCCAAAACACCCCAAACCGATCAATGCCACATAGATTGAATCTAGCCTCCGCGATAGATTCAATGAAAGAAGGGAGTAGAAGCAGAGTTGTTCACTTAGTGAACATAAAATAAATACAATACACGAAAAATTAAAACCAACATGTTCAAATCGATGTTGAATCAGAATTTGCATGGTAAAACCTGCCAAGGTTTTATATGACCACTCTTGTATGTTGTGAGTCTACTAGCCGCAAAGTCCCGGGATTTGATGCAGTATCGTGTTTCGTTTATCAACAGCTTTGATAACGAACTCAAAACAAAGCAGATGCAGAATGTTGGTAAAAGAACTTACTTGAAGCAGAAAATTCGAGAGAGAAAGGGAAAGCAGCCGATGGTTTTCAGTGTGTTTTAGGGGTGGTTTCAACCCAGTATTTATACTGGTTCAACCCCCTAAACCCACGATTTTGATTCCCTAAAAATCGGACCTTAATGGGTTAGTTGGAGGATAACCCTCCAACAATAATTATCGTCAAAAAATGTGTTTAAACCAGTTTGAAAACCGATTTTATTCTGTTTAAACTCGATCCAATAATTAGCTATCTCTCATAATTTGTATCGAAAAGATAATCGGGAGCTTAGGGCGAGGCTCCTTTTGCTCTGATGTAGCGTGCATCACTTCGTGAATCCCGCGCCCTCAGCCTCATACGCACGTGTGGGTTTGGCCTTGCACTCAATTAGTTCAAAGTCCAATTGAGAGGAAACCGTTATAAGGCTCTAACAATTTTCTATCTACCAATGTGGGATGGAAGATAAACTTCCAACCTCACTAACATTTCCAACACTTTCTACTGTGGTGGGGGCATAATCGAGCTCACTTCTATGTTAAGAACTAGCTCATGGAATTCCATTTTCTTGAACACTGGATAGGAAGGAGTAATACATCTTAAGATATTTGGATTCTTAGATGAGCACTTAAACATTATTAATTTACCGTTTCCTTTTTCACATATATATTCTTTTAGACCTGTTTATGAAGCTGATCAATTTATTGGGACATTTGGAACACTAATTAGGTCGAACCAACCACAATGCACCCCCCCCCCYCCCCCCAAGCAAGGGACCCAACCACCCAAGGATACTTATTGGAGCTATTTGTGTGATTTGGATGTTTAATTGTAAATTTCACTATGCAAAAATTTGACTATACTTGCATAGGGGACCCAACCACCCGGTTTTTAGTGTCCCCGTCCCCAAACCTTTAACCACAACCATAACCGTCCCGATCCCCATCAAGGATCTTATCGGGGATCCCCATCGGGTCCCCGCGGTTTCCTCGATCCCGTTTGGGAAACCCGTTAAGGATAAAAATCATCATTACCCGTTGGTTATACCCTAAACCATAACCAAACCGGAAAAACGCAAATTTCTCAAACAAAAATCTAAGCAGCAGCAACTTGGGAATAAATCATGACAAGAACTAGGAAATAGGAATAGGATTTAGGCCTTTAGTTTGTGTTTGTGTTTGCGCTTTCACATATATAATCTCTTGTATATATTTTGCCCAAAATTTTGGGTTTGTAAATATTATATATACATATATATATATATATATATAAAATATCGGGCCGGTGAGTATCGTCCCTGTCCTGTCCCTGTTAAGATCCCCGAAAATATCCCCAATCCCCGCCAGTCCCGGTATACTTGCACCATATGAGCTTTGTCCATATAGTGCCTCACTCATCAAGTACTAAAATATGCTATCTGAAGTTTTCACTTGCTCAGGGTTTTTTTATTTTCCATTTTCTTTTAAGTTAATGTACTCTCATGCACACGGCACACTTTTCCTTGTCCAAACACAGATTTAGTCTCCCAACAAAAAAGAGTGGAGCTACTCTATGATGCCTATGTGTTGCTCGTTGGGACAGAGTGCTTACCTCTTGTTATTACCTAATACCTGTGACATGCCAATGTGGTCAGAGATAATTTTGTTGACTGTCTTGTGCACTCTTTTTCTCTATCATTTACCCTTCAAATTTGTCCCTTGTATTAGGTCAGAGATGATGTTATCAGATACCGCTATGGGGATGAGCAACATTTAGAAGAGGCTTTGAAACGTATTTTCCAGTATGGTCTGGTAAGTTTTTGCTTCTATATACATCTTATGCAGGTATTTGTTAGATCACATTTTGCTAATCACAAAAAACTATAACATGCAACCTTCAATAATCTGATTCATGTTTCTATCTCTATACCCTCAGTTTTCCATGGTTTTCTGTTATTTGGAGAACCATGTGCATTGTGCAACAGCTCAATTGGCAAAATAAATGCTAGGCCTTGAGGCTTCTCCAAATAGGTTGCAAGTTCGAGTCTCCTTAGTCTCAACGGCACTAGGGATTTTCCTGACTCTTGTCTTCGGGGCCCCATGGGATTAGCCCGGCACCCACGGTTACGCCAATAAAAAGACTATCAATTAGCGAGTGTCATTGTTAATGTGAAGAATAACAAATATTCAAGTTATTCATTGCTTACTCTTTGGATGATGAATACCTGCATTTCACGGTATTGATGTTAATATATTTTATCGTTTGGTTTAGGGTGGGGGTGTGGCTCGAAGAAATGCTCCAATATTACAAAAGATCCGCGAAGAAGTAAGCCTTAACTTTCATTTACATATTGTTAAATTGAAAATTCATTTCTATTACTGTGTCTGCACTTCATTTTCACATGATTGAAATTAAAGATGCCACCGTGCTCTTTTAGTTTAGTTATCAGATTGCATTGTAAGAGTTGATAGCAGCTTTTGCCCCTGCCCTTTCTTCATAATACCCAAAATAAGTGTCCACGTTTCTATTTGTAGTTTATCCAAAATAAATGTATGCTTTCAAAAGTAAGTGCCTCATTTGCAATTCTACCATTAATTATAAGACAGAGAAATTCATTACTCCCTCTGTCATTAAGGGTAAAATTATCATTTAGTTAATCAAGAAGTATAATAACTACACATTTCTAAAACCGTGTCTTTTCCATTGTGGACATTTATTTTGGGATGAAGGGGTTGCAAAACACTCGGTGGCTTCTCATGAGATTGTCTGCACTCCAATCAATTCATAAAAAAATGAACTGGAGTTGATTTTCATCGAGTTTTTCACATATTATCAACATCTTAGAGCATCTCCAAGTGCTACTCTATCTTAGCAATTTCAGCATTTATTATATTCTTAAATATTTTATAGATTTCAGCATCCCAATACACTTTTTTAAAAAATTGTAACAGATTCAACCTCATTGGTGGAAACAATTAAAATTTCAAAATTAGAGGAAGGGGGTTTTCTTTGTTGACATAAGATCTAATCGTATAAAGAATCAGAAGTCACAGAAAACCCGCCCCTTTTCTAAGTACTCCTTTCGTCCCAAAATAAATGTCTACAATGAAAATGATATACAATCTTAGGAATGTACAATTATTCCACTTTTTGAATAATTAAGTGGACACTTATTTCGGGATAAACTAAAATAGATATGCGGACACTTGATTCGGGGCGAAGGGAGTATCTTTTTCCTCAATATTAAGTCTTACAGATTTCTACCTCTTCTCAATTTTAGCATACACTTTAGCGAAACTATTGGAGAAAAAACTCCAAAATATCTATTTTAGCCTAGTTGTTAAAGGATGCTTTTAGCTTCTGATATTTGTTTAATTATATATCATTCCCTCCTTTTTGCATAAAAAGTAGAACAAATTCCATTTGTGGTGGTACCATATCAATCACAATATGCTATATTTGGTCAAAATTTTCAAGCCAGAATGAGCTGCATGTGCATTATCATAATAAACCATTCATGATATTGATTTTGGTTTTGGTTAATTAGTCAAACACTTTCTCAAACCATGCCTGGGATCAAAGATTGCAATATTCACATACTAAGTTTAGTTCCTTTATGACCATTTTGGAATATTATGGTTCATTCAGGTTACGGAAGATGGTAAATACTGCTTAGTGTTGGTGTTTGAAGCAAAAGCACTCGAGTTGGCTGATTTCGAGAAAAGACAGGTCAGCCTTGAGCCTTTTTCTTCACATATTTATCGTCTCAAATATGTTTTCTTTTCTATCAACATTGTGTAATTTATAACTAACACGATAAAACAATAACGTTTTGTAGGGAAAATTTGCTTCCTTTTTCGGGCCAGGAATCACAGCGGAAGTTGGTGAGTTGTTATTTATGTTACTTCCTCCATCCCAAGATAAGTGTCCACAACGGAAAAAAACAACGCCGTAGTTTTAGAAATGTGTAGTTATTACATTCCTTAATTAACTAAATGACAATTTTATCCTTAAGATTAGATAAAGTAATTTCCTTCATCTCATAAACAAGGATAGAATATGAAAATGAACACTTAATTTTCACAGTGGACACTTATTTTTGGAACAAACTAAAACAAAAATATGTACATTTATTTTGGGACAGAGTAGTATTTTTACAGCGAGTTACAAACATTTTTCAACCAAATTGAATGGCAGGGGTTTTTCAATCTCTTTGGAGGCCTGTTGCACCTAAAACTTTTAATTATATTGCAAAATAAGATAACAAAGATACATATATACAAATTACAGAGACGATGATGAAACATATTACCTTTTTCTTCTAATAGAAATTAGAGAGACCCTGAGGTGAGCTATAATTTTACGTTTGTTGATGAAAAACCCTGAAAATGTAAATTTGGGCCTCAAAATTTTGGGGACCTTGTTCAAAATAACACATTTAACATGTTAAAGAACGACCATGTTGAGAGGGGATTGTTTTGTTATGGATACTGCAGGGATAGGAGAAGAAGCGAACGCATATGATGTACGCCTTATTTCCAACACAACATTGTAATTACACACATTACATACTGCTTGCTTATTTGGGAAAGAGTTCCATTAGATTTTCTCTAGTCTGAAAACATTGTATCATTCATTATATAAAAGAACCAACATATTTCCACAGAGATGTCACATATAAGGTATCAATAGCAACCTTGGCTCAATAGTCAACATTATAGTCAGGTTGTTTGTTGTTTGATTATCGAGTCTTGTATGGATTAAATTGTATGTATTGAGCATTGACGATAAGGAGGGAGGAGAGAGCAGCAAAGGGGATCGACATTTTTTAATGTTTGTGAAGCAAAAGGAAGAGAGGGGTATGGGTGTTCGGTTTTCAGTTTATTCGGTTCGGATTAATCGTTTTTCAACTTTTTTAAAGCTAACTGATAACCAAATCAAATAAGATTCGGTTTAATCGGTTTTGGTTTATTTGGTTTGGGTCGATTATTTTCAACTTTTTTTAAAGATGATTGATAATCAAACCAAATAAGGGCTAGCCTAACCGGGGTTTTGCATATCAATAACTGTTTAAACTTAATAAAGAATCATATTTTTTATTGGAACTTGCTCCCACAATTTTCACAAATGCAGTGGCTATTGTTTCTAATATTTACTTGTATCATTCATTCATTATTAACAATTGTCTTGAAAACATCATTCTATTAAAAGACATTATTTTCTCACAATTCCATCATACCAAAAATATCGTATAGCAATAAAATATGTATTTGGTTTTTTATTTTAAAAAAAATAAATAAATAAATTCTCAATTTAGCCGAATTAAAAAAAAAGCAAAAACTAAACCAAATGATTAATGACGATCTTTATTCTATTAACCAAGTCAATATAACCCAAATCTCACTCAATTCAAGTGACTTAGGGGTTATTTGGCAATTGTTGAATGGTTTGATACAGAATGATTAAGTGATCAGAATGATTAAGAGATTTTCATAATATAATACAAAATGAAATATAATTGTTTGGTAATTATTTACAATGAAATCAGGGAGCTTAATGGTTAAAAGGAGGCTCATGATACAAAATCATTTGAAGGGTTTTGGAACCATTAAAAGACGGACCTTTTTTTGCCAAACAAAATTAATCTCTTAATGATTCAAATGCTACCTCTTAATGAATCTATTAAAAGGTAAACAAACAACCCCTTATTCAATTTTAATTAACTTTGAGACCCCTAGAAAACAAGGATAGCATGTTTTTCTGTTTAGGGAGAGCAAGAATGTTTTCACAAAAGGTAGGGATAGAAAAAAATGTGCATAATGGATTAAGCTCATTCTAACCAGCTGAACAAGTAAGCCACGATCTAAGCCATTAAGCCACAAACCAAAACATAGCGTTTTACATGTATGATTGAATATAAAACAACGTTGCTAAACTCTTGATCTTGACATGTAACCAAAAGCATTTGTGAGAGACTGAAAAGGTCATACTACAAAACAAGGAGAAAGAAGAAGCCATATCTAAACCTAAGCAAAGATTAACAAAATGACAATATTAGTCCCTACACTATACTAAATGACAATAAAGCTAACATTTGATTAAAAGTGATTGCATATACAAAACACAAAGGTCATTTCCCCCTAACAACATAATAAGAGTAATGGGTCACCATTTTACACCGACACCATCCCACAGTTTTTGTAGTCTCTTTTGAACCGTAACCTGCACATGATAACACCATAAAAGTGGTTACCAACTTATCAAGCACTCGATAAATTGGAATTATTTTGAGTTGTAAAAAGACTAATCTACCCATTTGCAGATTCACAATTATTACAAAAGATTTGTGAAATTAATTCTATACTTGACCTTTTTCTATAAAGGTCTGTAACCGGCAACAAAAGAATTGTATCGAATATGACATCAGTACTTAATTAAATACTAACAAATGAAATCAGGTTTGTGACAGTTCTGTAACCGGCAACAAAAGAATTATATTGAGTATGACATCGGTACTTAATTAAATACCAACAAACGAAATCATGTTTGACAGTTTTGTTTAATGACCTTCAGAAAACTGATGGATACAACTCCAACAGCATATAGCTAAAGACTCATGCATGGCTAACGGGCTGTTTGGTTGATATTTCATTAAGTCATGTATGGATGAAGTTATCTTTATTGTTTGGGAGGATTTTTTCGTAAATGGAAAAAACATGTTTTTTAATTGGAAGAGGCAGGTTTGGAGAAAAAAAAATTTAGCTTTCTATGTAACACTTCCCCTAGAAGCTTACTGAATAAGTCAATTTCTATTTCATTATCCGGAAATCACTTTGTTCATTGATCTGGGCTAAAGGATGGTAACTGTTCCACATGTTCCTGAAGGATGCCTAAAGGCCTAATTCAGTGATCATATTTGAATGTTACAGCATCTTAGTAGCTTATATTTATATCATTCAAAGAGTTAAACAGCAAAAGTTTACCTTGAGACTTTTATGTGTTTTTCAATCAAATCCATCTGCTCAGCATCATAATGGAACCATCTGTCAACTTGTTCAGCTGTATGATCCCCAGTTCCTATATCTGTATATTCACCAGTAGTTATAAGTGATGGCATTACAGGTTTACAGAAAAGACTGTATCTAGAGCTCACCTTGATGAAGAACACCAGCTGCATCAGAAAACCCTTTTAACTTCCAATACACATGTCCATTGTTGTCTCTGAAAATTGGCTCTGTTCTGACAGCATCAGGCTTCTCTTTGTCTACATAAAACCAAAAATAAAAGAGAGTTGCTTAGCAAGAAGTTGGTAAAAGTTGGAAAACTCTTAAGGGCCCGTTTGGTTTGCGGGATTTGGTAGATTTGGGATTGAATTACGTTACAATCCTGTTTTCGGTTTGAAGGAAAGTTTGGATTTGAAATCCCTAGATTTCAATGGGATCCCACAACCAACAAATTTAGAAATCCCTTGGAGATGGTTGTCATTACAAATCCAAATCCCATGAATTTCAATTGTTTCCATCGCATCTCTATCCCACCTCTTTCATCAAATCTACCCCAGCCTTTCCATAACCTCCAAGCAAACCAATTATTTATAAAACAAACAAATATTTACAAAAAAATTAGATTTCATTCCAAATCCTACAAACCAAACACACTAAAGATTCCAAATCCTACAAACCAAACACACTAAAGATTCCAAATCCTTCCACAAAATCCAAATCCCTCAAAATCATTCCGTCAAACCAAATGGGCCCTAAACAAATCTTAGATCTCTTTCCCACTTATTATTTTAACCAAATATTTTGATTTTTAAGAATGAGGTTAAGCTACTGAATGAGCTTCATCAGGCTGATGAATGTTTTAAGCTCCTTGCAACATTTCAATCATGCTTTTGACAAGAAAACAATGGGTCAAGACCAAACCAGTTAGAACTTGATTTATGTTAAGAACATATGGAAACCCTTTGATTCTCTCTCTAACAAAGCACTTATAGCAAGGGAGAATGTTCCAACATATATAGAGGTTAGATGGACCATGTCTAGCCAATGTGAGAGACCGACGATTTTCATCAAAGATGTAACAGCAAATTAAGCTCTCAAGTCTAGGCAGACCGTACCTATCGGGATCATTTGTTTGCATGCAATCATCTCAGCATGTGCTTCAGCTGTTTTATTTTTGATCTTAGAAACAATAGCATCATGTTCCAACATGGTAAGAGGAACACCATCTCTTGCGATGATTGCTTTCGCAACATCATCCTGCATTTTCTGCTTCAAAATTTTCTCCTATAATTATGAAAACAGAACACATGAATCAAACCAAACCAAGAGTTGACAACTTTTCTTAACAAAACCCTGCATAGAGCCATTTATACCTTATCTTTTGCAGCAGCAAGTTTTTCCTTCGCTTCCTTTCTCTTCTCAGCAAACTTGACATTTTCCTCATTGATCCAATTTCTTACTTTTCTGTTGAAAATTTCCAAGTATCAGATAACCAAGTTAATTATCAACTTTTAAATTAATAGAATTGTGTATAGTAATCTTACTCAGTTCCAAGAATTTCATCACACAGGAGAACTAATAGTTTAAGCTTCATCGATGAGTCTAAATTATCATATCCCCCAGTTCTTTTGTCTGTACAATCCACATGCTCCAATATATGCTGGGATTTAGGGATGCAACTTTTTAGAGCTTTCAACCATGAATCATTGCCATGAGTTGGATCTAGTATTGGAGATCTGCAAGATGATGGATCCATACAAATATATTGATCATGATGTAGATATTAAACTACTCTAGTAATTAGGTAATAGCAATAAAGCCTATACTCTGATTCTGATTCTGATCCAGATTCTGTTTCCTCTTGTATAACAGACAGCAACTGAATATGAAACTGGATTACCAAGGAATATTTCCCTTTGCGTGTACTTCGCCCTTTTATTAGGTCTCTCAGAACTGCTTCGGCCTGCCCTTTCCTCACATCTAGAATCTGCAGAAAGAGAAAGAAAAGTAAGAGGAATGCAAATTATAGGGATTCTTGAAATGTACAATAGTAGCAAAACCATTGAGATTGAAATTTTCAATCAAGTAACCAAAAATGAAAGAAACAACTGATGGACACATCAAGGTGAAGGAAGTAAACAAGTAAACCACAGAAGCATGAAAATTAGGTGAAAATTTTCTTGCGCTGCTTTCAAGCCAGTATGATATCAAAATTACAGTTTCAGACCGTAAAACGTTAATGGTTAGTGCAGTACCCATTCAGCCATTCCTACAACGGGAGCTCGTCACCCAATGAATTCAACCCTAAAGAATTGTAAACACGTAATTGTTTCTATTAACAGAAAAGGAATAAACAAATGTATTGCTTTTTGCTCCATAACTGGACAGATTGGAAAAGGAAATAAAGGTATATCATTCCTCTCCCATCTATAGATTTACGAATTTTAATGCCCAATGCCACATGATTGTTCAAATTTTATATGAACAATAATTTATTTAGCCCAAATGGTTGCTACTAGAGCCCTGCACCCTATGATCCATTCAGCATCATTCAAAATATTATAGATGCTCCAAATAATTAAAGTTAAAAGAGATGGAAAGCATAAAGATCATCATTTAAACCGATCACAGAACTCATCAACAAAACAAACCAGGCAACACTCTAGGTCCTTGATCACGTTATGCAACAGAAATTTTGATGTGTAAAAGGGGAAGCATGATTAACAAGTAAATTCAGGGAGATACTTGAATTTAATATAATATAAAATGAGCTGAAAATATGAGGTTACCTTTCCAAAAGTAGCACAGAATTCTAACAATTGCAATGCATTGCCAGCATCTTCTTTTGGAAGATCAACCCCAACTATAGTTACTAACTCACTTCCTGTAGGCAAAGGGATAATAGCCTCAAACGAGTTGTTACACAAGTTGAGAGCCTTCTTTTTAGCTTTCAAATACTTCTTATCCTCAGCTTGCTGATTTGCCTTTTGATCAGACCTACCATCTAAGCCTTCCTCACCTTCATGAACAATGTTCTTCTCTTCAGTTCCATTTCCATCATGAATGCTTGTCTTGATCTCCTTTACCTCTTGCTGGACACCATTAACCTTTGAAATTGCACCACCATTCACATTTCCTTCGACTATCTCCTTTGACCCTTCTATCTTTAGTTTCTTATGTTTCTTCTTGTCAAGATGACTTGTCTTTTCCACAAACACTAAGGAACTCCCTGTTTTATCTAACCCTTCTGGCTTTAATTTCTTTTCGTTTTTCTCATTTAGAGCATGGTTAATCTCGACTCCTGAAACCTTATTAACCCCATCAAGTCGTTTTTGCTTCATTTTCTTTGGTTTCTCTTCAGAAGATGGGATTGGAAGTGAAGGATTGGCATTCAAATCTGTCTTGCCATCAAACAGATTTTCCTTCCCCGGTTTTTTGGGTGAAATAATCACGGTCCCCTATTCAATTGATAATGCATGCAGCCTTTTGAGAACTTAAATAAATTTCCAGAAGTGAAAAACATAATCATTATATATAGTAGGACGATAAAGAGAAAGGAGCACAATCACACCTCTGCTGGAGCAGATAGCTTTCTTGGTGAAGCACACGTTTCTTTCACTCTCTTGTAAGGACCAACACTTTGAGGACCTTTTACATGAAGCATGTCCGAAACAGAGGAAAATCCACCTGCCTTCGCCATTTGCACAAGCATACCGGTGGGCTGATGCCCACGTTTCTTCCTATGGTTTCATAGGTCTCAGATTTCATACTTATCACAACAGAAGTAGAAAAAATAGAGGAAGTATAATTTCATAAACTTACATGCAGATGCTGCAATTGCAGACGTCTCTACACCTGGGACAATTCCATTCATCTAACAAAGCCACATCTTCAGCTTTTTCCCCATACCTAAATCAAAATGGAGCATATGCATCAACAACAAAGACTATAAACCAATGTAAGCTTCTATGGAAACATTAAGACAACGCAGCAAAGTTAACCTGTTTAAGAGGCATGTATAGCAATACTTAAGCGTACATGGCTTGGCCCTTGCCTGATTCTTGCAGTTAACAGAGACCACACAGGTCTTTTGCCGGCACTTCAGAACAACATGAAATTTGTTAATGATAGACACAATCTTTTAGGAGCATAATTTAAGTGGCCAACAATTGCCGATGGCAGGAAAAAGAACCCGATAAGGAATCAGAGTTTTCAAGAGGGTATATGGTAAAGTGGAGTATATGATGATACATTCATAATAGACCTAGACATCTAGATTCTAGGACTAGAAGCATGAGGTGTTTCATTTTTAATGTACTTTGCACAAATGCATGCAAATTTTACACATTGTTACTTCTTAGATATTCTAATTATTTTCCTACCCGACACATCTTAGTGACCACTAAAAGCCAAAATGTATATAGCAAACAAGATGTACCATTTCAATAAAATCAGATAGCATGTAAAGCACAACAAATCTAGCGAAACAACAGTCATCCTGCAAATAAATAACTTCAAGACACGTAACAAATTTTATCAATCTAGCAACAAACCCACATTCTTCAATTGAAAAAGGAAAGTTAGCCAAAAACTTGCCTGACTCCAAACACATTAATAGTTTTCTAACAAGTTCTAAACACCTATTAGTTAGTTTCCAAGAATGTGGTTGTACATTAGAATCAAGATCACGGAGAAAACCAACACTTTTTGTCAAGTCTGCATCAGAACTATATTCCACTACTGATACAAAATGCTCACTCAAAACTGATTTTTATCTTTCAAAGTTCCAGCCATCACAAGCTAAAATGGAAGTAGCAAACTTCTGAACGAGAGCATATCAATCATAAATGACTATTTGTAACAGCCAAACGACACAAGGTCAGTCTCAATTGTTTTCAGCTTCGAGTAACAATTTCACTTTGAAATTTCAACAATTATCACTAACAGCATCTTTTGTTATAACATCAATCTGGCATTTTAAATGAAACTGGTTTGACGCTAAAATTCAAACAAACCCCATCTAGAACCATGTACGAGCACGTTTACACAAGTACACCTCCTTCACGTTCCATCCTCGTTTCAAATTCCTCTATATCTCCGTACGGAATTCTAACCTCCATCTTAAACTTATAATTAAAAAAAACATTGCGTTCCGTAATCATATAAAATGTGTACCTTCAACGAAATCCAAAGGCACAAAAACCTAAAACCATCACCAGAACGAAAAGATGACATACTAAAATCAAATTAGACATACTTGATGGCAAGTCGTCCCATTCTGAGAGTCATAAACTCGGCCATGAATAACACGAACCCCTGGACTCTTGTTCCGTTTCGGTGGTTGTGAACTGGAATTACCGGACTTCATGTCAGACCTGGGTTCCTCCTCCTGGCCACTGCTACTGACCATCTTCCTCTTGCTCCCCTCGGCTACCGGAGCTTTGGAGTTAGGGCTTGGAGCTGGAGCAACCGCCATTGATGTGTAAGATTTGGATCTGATACTTTGTCTGAACTCGTAAGTTTTTTATAATTTGAGAAGGGTTTTTGGAGGGATGGATTGGAAATGAATTTTTGAATTATAGTTTCGGAAAATGAAGAGGGAATTTCTTTTATGTTTTTGAGATTTGGGGCGGCAACTCATTTTTGGATTTTTTTTTTATTTTAATTTTTTTAGAAATATTTACTTTATTTTATAAAATATTATTTAAATGTTATAATTATTGTTTTTTTTTTATTAACTTGGATATCCAACTCGTTACGAGAGCCGACTAATCTCAGGACAATCACATGTTTTATTTTATTTAAATGTTATATTTAAATAAAATATTATTTAAATGTTATATTTATGTTTTTGTTATATTTATGGTTGTTAAATATATTCAATTAAAAATGTAGTTTTTTATTTAAAATGAATTAATTATCGATAACGTTATCTAAAATCGCGTTCACACGAGAACGATGTTTAGATAAAAGAACACGAAAACGGTTGAATCACATATGATTTTACACTAAAAATCACGTGTAAATTCACATGTGATTCATGCGACTTTGGTTCCCGACTTCAAGATCGAACACACTTGCGTTGACTATTAGTGTGAAATCCCATATGATTTGGTCGTTTCTTTGTTCTTTTATTTGGTTATTGTTCTCGTTTGAACATTCTCACAATATCTAATGTAACTTTTGGTTTATGTTGTTAACTTATTGTCTTGTTACTTAATTTGTTCACATGTTAATTAATTGTGTTGTTTGAAACTTCGAATTGATTAACGGCAGTAAGCTAGTATTGAACTTCGATCGTGTTTTTTCCATTTTCGCTTTGTATTTTGTATTCAACTCTTTTTGAAGAGGCGAAAGATGATGTCAGTAGCGTAAGAAGGGATCTGGATTTTGATCATCTTTAATTTTAAACTCATTCATAAATCGTGTTTCATTGCATTCAATGACGGAAATCTCTTCTTATGTTTCTCACTTTTAACTCTCATTCTCACCAGAACCCAACCCTATTGGATATCCTTTATATATGCAATTAAAAACTAAACCCAAATTCTTTTTTTAAGTTTAAACCCTTTAATTCCTTGATAAATTGTGACTGTAGGTTTCGCCTACAATCCTGAGGTAAATCTCTCGGTGGCCATAAGTGTATATGTAGAAGGCGGGATTATAACTTTACAAGTGGTGACACAATTTGACTATAAAAAAACTGTATAAATATTACACAGTATTAGCATAAGTTTGTGGTTGGTTCGTTGTCCTTGCATAGAATGAACTCATGCTAGAGTCCTGTCTACAAATTGTTTTAAAAACACAAAGGTATATAAAATAACACGAAAATATAAGCTGAAAAACTAAGAAATTTGAAAAAGGGTGGGATTCAACCTCGGGCCTTTTGTACAAAGGTGACATTATTTACCAACTCCACAATTAAAGCCTTGTGCGAAGAGTTTAAGGGGTGTTTGTGATTGCTTATAAAAACAACTTATTGACTTATTCTGGTGTGGCACCGGTAATAAACATTTTTGAGTGTTTGGATAAACAACTTATACCGGTGCCATTTGAAAAAGTTAAACCCTTCTGACTTATGACAAGTTGATAAGTGCTTTTGTAGAAAAGTATAAGTTGTTTCAAATAAGCAATCCCAAACACCCCCTTAGTTTCAAAAATACAAAGGCACCCAACAAAACAACATGGTGGCACCTTTCAAAAAACATATTTTTCCCCTTTGACAACGAACCATGGACCGATGGTCCATGACACTTTATGCTCCTATGTAGGTCCGCCCCTGCCTCAAAAATCCAACAACCCAATCAACCTTTTTTGACCGCAATGAATTTGAACTTATTAAGAAGGAAACCCACAAAATTATCAGTAATTACTTAAATCTTGAAAAAGATTTCGAAAAAATCTATTTGAAGATGCATATGGAAACCGACGATACAGAGTTATTTATATGGGTTCACATTTGCATCTTTAAGTGGATTTTTTCAACGATTCACATATGAACCTTCCCTTCTTACTTTTTCACGATATTTAGCCTTCTTATTTTGAACCTTCACTGTATATTTAAAAAAATGGCTATCCCTTTTTTTTCCATTCACGTAGCCAAAATCAATAGAATCCACTAAAATAGCTGAAAAAAAGCCCCAATGAACACATCATCAACGACAACAAACTTCATGGTCGCATCCAAATTTGAACTAAAATCGATTCGAAAATAAACCCGATTCAAGAATGCATACCTAAAGAAAAGATTCGCTTTCGAGTTGGGTCGGACGTGAAGAATGCATACTCTTGTATGCCACACTCTTTTTTCTATATCCTTTGGTCTTATATGATCGTTTTCTCTTTTGTTTGATTAATTTCATGAAAATGCTTCATTCAATCAATTACGAAGACAAGCCAAACCCAACCAAACGACCCCAATACATCCCACCTGGAGGTCAGGTTCGAAGGCTATGATGTATGCAGACCTAACCTCTACTCTAATGGGAGCAGAGGTAAAAATATAAAATATATATATAACAAATTTAACCAAATACCAGACCACGATGATCCACACCCGGTAACAACAATTAGCAGCAATTAGAAACAATATAGGACACTATCGAATTAAGATTTAAGCGTGAATAGAATAACAGCAGTAAAATACCAAGATTATCATATCAAAATAACCATCTAGGTTAAAATACTGTAGTTAGGGGCCGTTTACCTAAATGTTTACCCTGTAAGTAATTACCGATAGGATTCAACATTATAATTTATTTTGATACGTAAGATTTTAGTACATCAAAGCATATCGAATGCAACAAGTTACTGGGTAAGTACTTGCCGGGGTAAGAGTCGCTATCGTTACTTACAGGGTAAGACTATCTATCCTTTTTATTGCTCTTACCCGGTAAGATTCTTAGCCCTTCTCATGTTCATCCGATAAGGAAATTTATCCGGTAAGCGTTTAGTAAACGGCCCCTTAGACCCATTTGTGCTCTACACGAAGGATTATGTGAGAATAGGAGTTAAGGTGAGAAAGACGTGTTTTACATAGCACAACTATTTTTTTCTTTTTGCAGGATCTGTATACTTGTTGTCGAAAATTTATATAACTACCAAGATTATCATATGCAGTGACTCCGAGCTATCTGCAAAGCAGGTGGTCGTCCTGGGATTAGTCGGCGTGCATAGTGGGTTGGATATCCAGATTAATAAAAAAAAATGATATAACTACAGATTATTATTTCAATTCTTTTGGAGGCGTGTTACAATTGTAACAAGACTATAGATAAACTGGAAGTGTAATAAATAAAACGAAATATAAAAGTTCAAACCATATATTTTATATTAAAAAACTAACAGATGTCTTAAAATGACAAAGCAATATATGAAATTTGTTTAGAAATAATCATTCTTCTAACAATTTTCGAAAGCCAAGATCAAGAATCACCAAATCGGCTAAACGAGTAAAAGCCTAAAACATTATAGTTGCGCTAAAACATGTATATGTAGACTAAGGGGCCGTTTACCAAACGCTTACTCGGATAAGTGAACACCAAGTCACATTACCTTACCGGATGAATATGGTAAGGATCAAGAATCTTACCCAGTAAGAGCGAGATAAGGACCAAGAGTTTTATCTGATAAGTGGCCGTTTATCAAACACTTACCTGATAAGTGCTTACCGGTAAAATTTAACACTATTATTTACTTAGCGGGTAAGATTTTAGTCCACCAAAACAATATTGTATACAACAATTTACCTGGTAAATGCTTACCGTGGTAAGAGTCGTCGTCTTCACTTACCGGGTAAGATTCATGGTCCTTGTCTTGCTCTTACCGGGTAAGATTCTTAATCCTTACCATTTTCATCCGGTGAGGTAACATGACTTGGTAAGCACTTACCCGGGTAAGTGTTTGGTGAACGGCCCCTGACATTTAAGTTAAATTGCACTAAAGGATGAACCTTGGTTAACAGCATTAGCCTAGAAAGTCATTCAATAGCGAGTTTCATAAGGCATGTTATCGACATCTAGCCTCATATCTCGGTGTCTATCATGCAACCCCGTTTATAAATGGATCAAACAGCACGTAATCCTGACGATGGAGAGTTGTTTTTATATATCACGGGAAAAATTGGAAAAAGATTTCAAGAATCTCTATGTTATCGACATTTAGCCTCATATCAACGGCCTCCTTTCACCAACCTCATGAACTTATATAGTTAAAATGAACTGACTCATATTTCAGATTTCAGACATTTGTCAGTTTCAAAAACAAATGGTCTGACTGATTCAGATTTCAGATTTCAGACGTAAAAACAAACTTTAGATTTCAGACTTTAGCACCACCACTTATAAATCAGAAGTGAAATCACACTTCTGACTTCGGCATCTCTTAAAAAACAAACGTCGCCTAAATCTGATACTTTTACTGCTATCTCTAGAACCCATTTTAAAAGAAAGATTTGTCTATCAGACAACCACCATGGAACCATGCGAGGACCCATCAGATGGGCTGGCAAAATCCTCTACTAAGCCATGGCCTAGACCATGAGCTCTGTTAATCACGCTCTGTTCATCAACCACGACATGGGTTTCTGTCTTCTTAGGAATCAAGAATACAGAGCATAGACGGACCTAGAGGGGTGGTTAGGTGGCACGTGCCACCGTATTGTTCCTCCGTGGTAAGATAAAAAAAAAATAAGTTCGTGAAAGGTGCAACCGTTTTATTCTATAAGGTGCAACTGTATCAAAAAATTCTTGGGTCCATCCCTGATACAAAGGTCTGTAGAACAGATCCTATTCAAGTAAGATCGTGCTCACCTTTCCCTCCATCTTCCTTATATACACGCCTCGCTTTGCACTTCCGGCCCATATTGGAGAAGACCGCATGCAAATTATAAAACCTTATGAAAATGGTGTTCTTTAAGCAAAATGTAAAAACAATTGTCTTGATTTCTATAATATTATTTCTCATTGTTAGCGAAAAGTAAAGAACCAGAAAAGTGTTGGGTCGATCATGAACCGGGTTACTTGAGAATCGGGTAAGAGATTATTTTCCGAATTGATATTTTGACTGTATGTCTGGGTTGCATGAAATTCAACATGGGATAAGACTCAAGATAACATTTTCGCTTTTAGGCACAAAACGAGAGCAAACTTGTCGGAGAGTATATTAGTATATTTGGGAACTGTTTCCTACCAAGCGTGGTGACGTAAGTCTGTTTTGGTATGAAATTGTATTTTGTGAACTGTTTCTACCAAGCGTGGTGACGTAAGTCTGTTTTGGTATGAAACTTGTTTTAAGTAGTAGTTCCCCCATACGTGGTGACTTTTGTCTGTTCTGGCTTGGAACTGGAAATGGGTACTTTCAGACGTGGTGACTTATGTCTGTTCTGATAAGTGGCCCTGTTTTGATGGAAGAATAAGTGTGACATATTAAGGAGAGGTGTACTTGGAATAAGGGTGACATTGTCATATGTGGATAATATTATTACTCTTATTATTGCTACTAATTGGATTTAATAACTTTGTGTCATCATTTCTTTGTGACCTGATGAATTAAAGATATTATTTCTAATAGAAATAATAATTTATATGTTATTGAGAAGAGAAAAATGGTTTGTCATAACAGGCAAACATTGCCTTAAAATCTTTTCTATTAATGTTTACAAAGGAATGGTCTGATGATTCAAAAAGTTTTGGTTATAATATTTGTTTCATATTGGGAACGTTGGATCTTTAAGCAGAGGTATTTTATAGAACTGAGGTTCTTGGGTATGTCCTATTTTACATGTTATTGTGAACTGCATCATTTGTTTGTATTGCAAAATATTTCTAAGCAAAGTTACTTTATCATATTTTGGTGTTCATCATCCTGCATTTGCAATGAAGGAATTTACTCACTAGACCTTTCTGGTCTAACCCTCATTTTCTGTCTTTTAAATATGTGGTGCAAGAATGACGGGGTCTAGGGATAATAAGGGGAAAGGGAAAATGTGATTATTTTCCTAACCTGTAATCAGCTTTTGAAGATCTGCTTTTGATGGCTTATTTTGAATGATACATGTTGTATTTCATGTGTTAGTACAAGATTTATTTGAAAATTTTCATATGTAGATTTTGTACATATAAGAATCCTTGTACTAGTGTGACATTGTGATGTAAAGTATGTTTCTATGAAATGAAATATATGTTATATGCAAATAAGGTGTTTGGGAGTGTTACACTTACCAACCAGAGGCAAGTCTTAGTAATCACAAGCAAGGAACCAGACCTCTACTAGAGGCAAGTTCGACCAGAGGAACCAGAGCCTATGGTCCTTAACAACTACGGGCTATCTGTAAAGCAGGTGGTTATCCTGAGATTAATCGGCTCGCATAGCGGGTTGGATATCCAGGTTAATAAAAAACAAACAAACAGTGCAATGGTTAAATGGGATATAAAAATAAGAAACTTTGATAAGTCAATTAAACAAATATTCACTACATGAAATAAAAACTAAGTGAATTTTGTTACATTTTAAATTCTTAATGCATGTTGTCATTTTATAATACAATGTTTTTTCAACTTTAACCCTACACTAAAAAACCCATTAAAAATATTTTTTAAATTAAACTCTTTAGGTGCTGTTTAGAATATATTTGAACCATAAGGGAGGTGTCAGATTGGTTTGAGCTTGAGCTTTAAAGGTCAAAAGTGTCTAAAGATCCAAGGTTCAAATCCAAAAGGGAATTAAAAATCCCCTTGTGGCCACAGAGGACAAAATGCGGTGACTTCGGGCTACTCGCAAAGCAGGTGATTGCCTTGGGATGAGTCGACTCACATAACAGGTTGGATATCCAGATTAACATAAAAAAACATATTTGGTTCAACTCTTACCATAAATCTTGATAATGTTAGAACGACCTTAGCTTTAAACCATTATTATACATAAAATTGTAATTAAATAATAATTTTGTTCCAATGAAGTATTAAAACAACACTATTATTTAAGAAAATTTGGACAAACAATTCATTAGTTGAACTAATCTTCTCGGGCTAGCTCAACTAGCAATAAAACTTTGGGTTCAAATTATGCAAAGCTACTTGAGATTTTTCTGACTGTCTCCAAGATCCCTGGGATTAATCGAGTTACACACACGCTAGCTTGCACACCCCACGGTTTACACAAAAACCAATGCATTGATTTAATTTAACTGTTTGGTTTACTAAAATAAGCATTTAGTTAAAGGAAAATCACCTAACCATTAACAATTTTTGGCTCAAAAATTCTTCAAATAACTTTTTCTTACAAATTATTACGAAATAACCAGTAAATCAACCTAAAGCATATACATCCACATGATTAACGTAAAACCAAACTCAACCTTCCTTTTGGGGACAGGGACAAGGACACAAGACCCTAAAATGTCATCGTCAACTTGATTTTAAAAAGATGAGAGGCCGATCCGTACGGATTCTAGCAGAGATTTAGTGGCTATTTTATGATAATATTTAAAAAAAGGGGCATTTGATGAATGTTGTAGGCAAACAAAAAAAAGGAACAGATGATATATAACATAAAGGGGGGGAAAACTCAAATATTTATTGGGTATAAAACCAAACATTCGATATTTTAGAACAGGTAGTTGAAGGAAATAAGTTGAGAAAGGGGGAGTGGCTAAAAATCCAGCAGCATTTGATTAAAGGAAAAGACCAACTCCCAAACAACAATTGGCAAACCCATAAAGCAAGCAAGCATTCAATCTATCGGAAATCATTCCGAATACAAAGACCTATAAAAAAGGGTACACAAACACTATTTTCCTTCCTTCCTTTCCTAACATCACTGGCTTTCCTCCGCTTTTGACGATTCCTTGATCTCGTCCCCACCCTCGTCCTGTAATTATCAACTATGTAAGAAACTAACCAAACCAAACACACAATATATATATATATATATATATATATAAAAGAGTAGAACAATTGTTTCTATAAAAACTCCTCTTTTTCAAAAAAGTGTTTTCAAAAAAGATATGGAAGAAAACAAAAAGTAAGGTGGACCTTGGAAAACGAGAAACTTTTGAAAAGATCTCTCAGCATATTTTCCAAAAATGGAGAAAAGTAGGAGAGAGAGAGAGGGGGGTAAAATCCACCGGGGTTGTTTGTCAATTACTGAATGGTTTGGTGCAGAATGATTAAAAGGCTCTCATGATATAGTGCAAAATAAAATATAATTGTTTGGTAATTGTGTACAATGAGATTATGACTCTTAATGGTTAAGGGAGATCCAGGATACAAATTCACTCAGAGGGTTCTAGAACCATTAAGAGACAGACTTTTTTTTTTGCCAAACAAGATTCACCTCTTACTGAAACTATTAAGAGGTAAGCAAACAACCCCTTAATGACTTTCTATATTCTAACCGATAAAAATTCCTTGAAATTAAATGTATGTTCTTTTCCGAGATTTTGATTTTGATTCTTCATTTTAGAGAAATTTTGAAGAATATGTTGGAACATTTCCTAATGTGACTAATTCTTTTGTCGTTATTCAAGGGTATTTTCGACATTTTGTCAAGCTTTGCAATTTTTATGGGAAAGAGGTTCGTAAGATTATGTGTTGGTAGGCACAACGGTACCTGGGTTACAGGTCCATAGAGTCATGGGTCCAAATTTAGAAAAGAAGAGAATATTTGCATATAAATAGTATATACTTAAAAAAGATTATGCCATCAGTAGAAAAAAAGTAGAGACTGACCGCAATATCAGATGTCCACAAAGTGAGGTTGTCACGCAGAAGTTGCATGATCAGTGTGCTGTCCTTGTATGAATCCTCACCTAATGTATCCAACTCAGCAATAGCTTCATCAAAAGCCTGCCATGGAAACACACCAGTGTTCATTTACGATAACAATTTACCTTACCCTACATTCTGTAATGTAAACTTGTTTTACAACCAACTCCGGGTAAAACAAACATCGTCTAATTAGTCTTTCGTGTTCAAGTGCACAGCTGTATGCATACAAACACAACATAATAGACGGTGCGTGTAGCTGAATTGGCAAAAGCACGGTGAGACCTTGCTCAAATAGGCAGTAATTGATATTTGATAGTAAAAAACGATTTCTACTTGACCTAATAGTCTTTTTGGCCGTAAAACTGAAAGCATATCAACACCATTGGGAGCTTGAAATTGATATGAGATGTTTTGATCACTATAGCTATCATGGCTATACCCATGTCAGAATAAAACATCAATTTTGCTGTTTGTTGCTGAAAAAATAATTACTCAGAAAGGGCAATACTGAGATATGTTGTAATTGGTCATATCACTTAATGAAAAAATAGAACAGCTTCATTGCACTTGTGATATCTCTGATTGTCCTTTATAGATGAATCTAACTATCTAAGCCCTGACATCCCACAGAAGAAAATGAAATGCTTTCAGTAGATGCTCATTATTCAAATGAATTGCCAAAAGATTTGCACAAGCAAACTAGAAATCAATTAAAAAACAAGCCATGACATTAAGAGTTCCCTATGCTGGATGGTAAATAAACTTTACCTGCTTGGCAAGGTTGCAAGCACGGTCAGGTGAATTGAGAATCTCGTAATAGAACACTGAGAAGTTAAGTGCAAGTCCTAGCCGTATTGGGTGGGTGGGAGCCAAGTCAGATAGAGCAATGTCCTATAACAAATACCATAGTTACAAGTCAGGGTAAGCAATGGACCAAAAAAGTAGCAAGATTAGCATATAGATATGAACAATGTTTACCCACCTGAGCAGATTTGTAAGCTAATAAAGTGCTTTCAGCAGCTTCCTTCCTATCAGCTCCTGTCTTAAATTCAGCCAGGTATCGATAGTAATCACCTTTCATCTTCAAGTAAAAGATCTTTGACTCCGCAGTTGAGGCAGAGGGAATAAGATGCGACTCCAGAAGGCCCAAGATACCATCACAAATTTTGCTTAGCTCAGTCTCGATCGAACCCCTGTAGTCCTTGATCAGCTTAACATGATCTTCATTCCCACGGCTCTCTTCCTTCTGCTCGATGGAAGATATGATCCTCCATGATGCCCTCCTAGCTCCAATCACGTTCTTGTAAGCCACGGAAAGAAGATTTCTTTCCTCCACCGTCAACTCCTCAACATCCACAGTCTTTGCAACCTTCTCCATAAACTCAACCATTTCTTCGTACCTTTCAGCCTGCTCTGCTAGCTTGGCCATGTACACATTTTCTTCACGGGAAGCTTCAGCTGATGCCATTCTATTGATTGGTATATCCCTGAATATGCAAAAGGCATCATATCAGTTGCTGTAAAAAATCCAGCAAGCAAATCGACATATAAAGGCAGATCTAGATGAACAAATTCGAGCTACCATTTGACCAAAATCAACAACTAACCAAGATGAAACCTGTGTGCTTCTCTAGATCAACTTGTACGAACTACGTAAATTCCAAATTTGTTTCATTGACATGTTTAATGAATTCACAGTACAACAAACAGAAACTTAATCTTCAAAATGGGGATTATAGAAAACAACCGGATTTTTTTAGCCTACCTGTATGTTCAGATAAGATTCATATATGATGAATAAAGCTATTGCCCTAGCCGCTAGATGCATTTAGTCAAATTTGTGCACAGCTTGTACGGTACAAGTAATCGATGCACAATGGGCCAATTTCACACCAGGTACTTTCTAGCTCCACAGCTTGTTCCCTTTCTTTGTTCATACAAGTGTCAACATACTCTTTATCACGTTTGTTATGAAATCATTAAACAAAACCAGATAATCACATAGTCTTTAAGCTCATTCAACAGTTACAGATCCTAAACCCGAGATTCACAGATCTTAACAGCTTACGATAGCAAAATCACTGTTCCATACAGCTACATCAATCAAAAACTAACAGATTCAGAAAAAAAGAACAAAAAAGCACGATTAACGGAATCAAAACATCACAAAATACAATCCATACAATCCGTTAACACGGATTGTTGAGTACGCAGATTCAAAATGAAACCTAGTATTTCAGGAAGCAAAAAGCCATCGGAAAATACCTCGATTGATAGGGCGAGCAGAAGCTAGTGTGTGTATCTAGGTGTTTGTGTGTGTGTGATTCTCTTTGAGCGAAGGAGAAGGAAAAGAAGCGGATTCGAGGGGGTTTATATAAATGGAGAACGCGTGAAAGTGAGAAAGAATAACCAATGAGAAGGCGACAGGTGTACTCTTTTTGGGGGGGGGGGGGCGGAGTTCACTACACGGAGGTCAGGCGTTACACACGAGTTTTTCCCCTCCTTTTGCCTGCCGCTGACCGTCAAACGTGCCCATGTTATTCTCTCTTTCAAAATTCAAAAACAAAATAAAAAGAGTGAATTACATTTTTAGTCCCTGTATTTTACATCATATTATGGATTGGGTCCTTACTATAAAATCGTCACCGTTCAAAAGCGCTTGCCACAACAGCTGTCATGGCTTAAGACTTGTGTCTCACACCACATTAATCATGTTGTACGTCATGACCCGATACACGATTTTTGTAACACAATGTTTTATTTTTTTTATTTTTTTAATGTTTTATTTGTTAGTTTTCAATGTATAACCTAACTTAAATTATTTAGTATTACTGACTAATTGGGTAATAGTAGAAAACATATGTTTATATGTACAATAATTTATATGATATAAATTGCCGTCATAAGTCACGTCACGATCTTGTCGTGACTCCTTAGGCTTGATATGTGATCTCGTCGACATGTCACGCCTCACACCATTTAGAACCTTGAAAATCATTATGAAATTTTTTTATGTCAAATGCATTTTATTACCGTATTGGTCCACCACCCTAACGATGTTTAATGTTATGTTAATCCAATTAACTTGGAAGCCATTTTAGGGGCCGTTTACCCAATTGCTTACCCGGTAAGCGCTTACCGATACGAGTCAACACTATGATTTATTTTGATGCGTAAGATTTTAGTACATTAAAACATATCGAATGCAACAATTTACTGGGTAAGCGCTTACCTGAGTAAGAGTCGTCATCCTCACTTACCGGGTAAGACTCTCCATCATTCTCATCTCTCTTACCCGGTAAGATTCTTGGCCCTCATGTTTATCTGATAAGGAAATTTATCTGGTAAACACTTACCAAGTAAGTATTTAGTAAACGACCCTTTAGTCATTTACCAATTTACTTAATTTATTATTAAAAAAAATTAAAACTCTTCCACCAACTTTCTGTTGTGATCGTTTATCAAGATTTTTTCCACCTTCATTGACATTTTTTGTTCAATTTATCAGTATTTTAGTTCATAGTGTGAGATTAAATAATTTTAACATCAAATGTTTTAATAGAAAATTAAAGATAACGGTAAAATGATCAAAATGCTCCTCATTTATCAAAAAAGTTTATATTTGTTAGTGTGAGGGACCAATTCGGTAATAAAATACGTACCATATAAACACTTTATGTAATTATTTCATTTTAGAGATATAATCTACAATATTGAGTAAATCACAAGGACTAAAAATGTAAATTCACTCGAGAGAAAATAAGTAGCACAAAAAAAAATTCACCAATAAATCAATAAATATATGGTGTATCTGGAAAATATGTTTAACTTTAGGGTGTTTTAGATTGCTTATAAAAATAATTTATTGATTTATTTCGGTATAACATCGGTAATAAGCATTTTTGAGTGTTTGGATAAACAACTTATACTGATGTCAAACCGGTGATAAGGAGTTTTTGAAGAAGTTAAACCCTTCTGACATATAATAAACTAATAAGTACAATTGTAGAAAAACATAAGTTGTTTTAAATAAGCAATCCCGAACACCCCCTTAATTTATCTTTACTGTATTATAAAACATTTGATTAAAACTCTTAAAAACTACATTTTAAGCATTATATATTATTAATTAAAGCGAAATTACTTAATTTGTAAGTTTACAAGTTTTATTACTTTGGTATAAATTATTAAAGCACACTGCCTCTCTATCTATATCTCACGTGGATCCTTATCTGTAATCCACAAATTCAATTCCATTGTAATCCTAACGCAAACCCCGTTTCGTGCGCCCGCCCTTCTCCCCTTGAAATGTCTCCTCATATTCAAATCATCTCGCTTTGTTGATCCAAGCATCTTCAAATGCCTCCCGATATTCAAATTCCCCTTTTACTCTCATCCCTTGATCAAAGCTTTGGGTAAAAATTAGGGTGTTCAAAAAAATCATTGGACCGTTCAAACGTGTCGAACCAAGTCAAACTGGACTGTTTTTGATGGTTTGAGTGGTCTGACAGTTTGGTTTGGTTTGAAAAATAGCAAAACCGGCCGATCCGGTTCGGTCTGCGATCTGGAACCTTTTTTGGGCGGTTTGGACCACACCGACCGCCAAATATATATATAGGGAGAACTGATTAGTTTGTGGTAACTGTGAGATTCAATCTCAACCACAAATTAACGGATAAATTAGGAAATTAATAATTATGGTAGTTTGAGTTAAAATTATAATTAGTGAGCATTTTAAGTATTTTTTAAAAATTCCTCTCCCCTCTCTCATTTCTCCTCTCTTCGACCTCCAATCTCTGGCATCCGGTGAACATTAATCCGGCAGGTACCAAGTAATCACAAAGATACACAATGTGATATACATTGTGATACCAACTATGATACCAACTCAAACCTTAAAAACACAGATACACAATGTGATACCCATTGTGATATACTGTTATACCTATTTCACCGGAGGCCGCAGATTGGAGGTCGGAGAGATGAGAGATGAGAGAGGAGAGAAGAGATAAGAGTTTTTTAAAAATACCTAACATGCCTTCTAATTATAATTTTAACTCAAACTACCATAATTATTAATTTTCTAATTTATCTGTTGATTTGTGGTTGAGATTGGACCTCACAGTTACCACAAACTATTCAGTTCTCATTTGATTAGGCTCATATATATATAATTTTAGTATTAGTAAACCCAACTTTTTTAACTTATGCACTATGACCCAAATATATCTTTAAGCCTAACATAAAGGTTAATATCCAACATAATCAAAATGAATATTTAATCTACAATTATAAATTATATATGTTTTTTTTAAGTTTAATATTTAAAGTTCATTAAAGGCCCAAACCGCTTAAACCGGTCAGACCAGACCGCCTTTTCGTGGTCTGGTTTGACCGGTCTGGACACTTGATATCAAACCGCTTGGTTTAAAATTTTTACAAATTGCCATTACGGTTTGATTTGTGGTCTAAGGGGTTAAACTGTCCAAACCAAACCGCGAACACCCCTAGTAAAAATAGTATTGGAGACAGCTAGTTTGGTTAAGTATTTTACGAAGAAATGTGGGTCGAGTAGATTGCAGTAAGCAAAGAAAGGCTTCACCTTCTCACTTTCATTGAAATTAATCGCTAATTGTTTCCTCTTGCTTATGATTCGTCATAAAAAAAACCTGACAAAGAACAAACATTATTATCTTAAAATATAAACTATCATAATTTAGTACTGAATATATGAATAATAATAACAATATAATTAATATTTACTCATGTTATTATAGATTCTTTATAAAATGCATACTGCTTTCATTTAATTCTTGTAAAATACCCCGTGTAATATACGGGTTCGAACCTAATTTTATATATATATATATATATATATATATATAGATAAAAATTAATTATTAAAAAATAATATGTGGTGCGGTTTGAACTATGGTTTGTGTAATACAGAACAAAAACCAAACTGTATAATGCCGTTTAACTATAAAAATATACAAACCAAAAACCATACAGATACAAATAAGATATACAGTGTTTGAGGTAAAATGAGCACCTTCTCAACCACTTGCCCCATCTTACTCCTAAGTGCACCACAAGGGTTGTGGCGTATTAGTTGAGTTCCTGGAGGATGTGATGGATATCTCATCTAGTCAGGGTATGATTCCAAGCTTATGCAACACTTGTGGCCAATGAGTTTATCGGGACTGATTTCTTGCACTCACAATTTACCGGGATTAGTTCAGGTATAAACTAGGACACATGCCCATTCCTGACATTTTATAGATCCTGGGCGAGATATGAAAAGGGGTCCTCGATAAGTACGAATAAAAAAAATTCAATTTATTGTTTTTATCATCAGAAATAACAGTGAATTTAAAAAATATTAATGATTCATATAAAACCGTTTTTTCCAAGTATTCCCAATGTTTACTTTTAAATTAACATTATCTACCATATCATGTTTACATAGAATCCTAAATATAGATATAAGTTGGATTGTCTCATATGATTGATAATTTTTTTATTTTCAAAAGGAAAGACTTTTCTCGGTTAATAACAAGAAATTTGTTGTATTATAATACAAAGATAAACTTCATGTGGAGGCAATAGAGTTGGTGGAAGATGAATGATGAAGAATACTAGTTGTTTACCCGCGCAATGCGGCGAGAGCCGTGGATTTTAACAATTTTGAAGTTTCACTGGTTTTATTAGAGAAGATTTAACGATGATATAAGTTACACTTGGTCTTTACATATTAATACAATTTGAATAAATAAGAGTTATGGTTCCAATTACAGTCTATCGATGAAAAAAAATTGTATCACAGTTTGAAATCCAATATATTTAAAATCCAACATATTTAAACGACTCCACAAATGTGTTCGATTTACACAAAGAGCAAAGAATCAAGAGATCGAGAGCGAGAGTTCTAGAGCAATTGAAATAGAGATTAATGAAAGAACTTTTAATAATTCATGATAAACGGTAAGATTTTAGTCCATCAAAACGGCATCGTATGCAACAATTTACCCGGTAAGCACTTACCGTGGTAAGAGTCGTTGCCCTCACTTACCGGGTAAGACTCTTGGTCCTTATCTTGCTCTTACCGGGTAAGATTCTTGGTTCTTACCATATTCATCCGATAATGTAATATAATTTGATAAACGCTTACTTTGGTAAGCATTTGATAAACGACCCTTTAGTTTAATAAAAATGTTGAAATATCAATAGTTACGAAATGGACAAATCTTGTGGACCAAAATCAATTCTCACTCTTTTATAATGATCCTTGTGAAGGGTAAAGAGGAGACAAAACATGTAGCAATGATTTTGGTTGCATTTTCTTGGGTCATTCATCAGGGACGTTCCAATTTTTTTGGAGGACATGGTACATTTAAAACTTTTGATTACATTGCATAAATAAGATAAAAGAGAATATATGTTGAGAACAAAAATGGACTAAACCTAAAACGATTAACAATCTGAAACTAAACCTAAACCTAAACCATTAATGATTTGAACCTAAAACTAAACAATTAATGGTTTGCACCTAAATAATTTCGGTTATAGTTTTACACATGTCAATAAAAGACCCTGATCACATGTAAATTTGGGCCCCAAAACTTCGGGGGTCTTGTTCAAAATCTCACATTTAACATGTTAAGGGACTACCTGTCATTCACAAGCTAGAAATCACTCAATCAAGGGTATACAACATACATTCACATTTATGACCAACAAGATACACTTGACAAAACCATAAGGGTTGTGGTGCAGTGTTTGAGGGCCGCGAAACGTGCTGGAATATCTCATCTGTGCAGGGTTCGATTTCAAACGACGTCTACGATGGAAAAAAATGGCATGGAGTCGGACGAGAGAGTCGTTCTTGAAGCGAAAAATGGAGATGCTTCTGTCATCTCAACTGCAATGGCAGAGGGGGAACAGAAACTTGAACATCAAGGAATTGTACAAGAAGAAAGCCTACAGAAATAAACACCCACTTTGAGTGAAATACAATTTACTGAACTTGATAAGCTTCTCACACAGACACAGCGGAAAGCCAAGAGAGCTGTTGCAGCCGTGCTTACAAGGTCTCAAGAAGGCATTTCCTCTGAAGATCTTAATCTCAGTATAGAAGAGAGAGCTGAAAATCAGCTGGCTGAGCTGTGCCAAAATGGTCTTAATGGGATTCTTGCAGACCAAATGGGGCTTTTTGTAAAAGACCATTTCTTGTGGAAAATGCAAAATGTATGCTACTTTTTGTAATAGACCATTGCACTCTGCAAATTTTTTTGTCTAAAAATCACTCATTTCTTGCTGGGTATGTGTCTTTTTTCTTTGGTTTACCAATAATGATGATAAAATTTAGCACTATTATTTACTTACCAGATAAGATTTTTAGTCCACCAAAACGACATCGTATGCAACAATTTACCCGGTAAGCGCTTACTGTGGTAAAAATCATCACCCTCACTTATCCGGTAAGACTCAGGGTTCTTGTCTCGCTCTTACCGGGTAAGATTCTTGACCCTTACCATATTCACCCGTTGAGGTAATGTGACTTCATGTAAGTGTTTGGTAAACGACACATTAATTTTAGTTTTTATTTTCTTTTCACTCACACTTTTGCACAAGGTGTGGGTCTTCACGGAAACAGCCAATCTACCCTTTGGAGTAGAAGTCAGGTCCGCATACATCTCATCCCTATTAAGTCTTTGATGCCTTCTATTTTTATGAGGTAAAGTATAATTTAGATTTTATATCATTTTTTAATTGTTGCACGAGCTTAACATTCTTTTGGTTAAAATATTTTTGCCCATTTGGAGAACGAGAATTGGAGCAACTGTTTCTTTCATATCAATGTTTAGAAAAGAAGGAATTAATAGGTGGATGTTGCCATGATTCAAACCCACCACTTTCGAACTCTGCTGAATGCATTAGGTGAATTCTTCAGAAAAAGTGGTCTTTGGGTCCACACTTTTAGGATTCTCTTATCTCCTTACACCTAGCTAGCTCTCTATTTTAAATTATATAATATTTGCATGACGTGTGAAAATAGAAGTTAACTTGATAAGTGATCTGGACCTTTGATCAATTTTAATCTCATCCACACCTTATGAATTGATCTACGGTTGCATATTGGTGCATTTTATTAGTGTTAATCTTTGATAAGAATTGCTCCAAAGGTGGAATCCCATGACTTTCATTCTCATCTTAACCCAACCCATATTTATATATGCAAAACTCAAAGTCACTTCTCACCATAGTCAAATCTGAACCCTGATCTCCAATAATGTTGGGATGTACCGATAACCCTGATACTGTTTTGACCATTGACCCTTTTTGGTGGCTCTTTGTGACTTGCTACCTTAAGGATTGAAAGGGGCTTTGTTTGTTATTTTCAGGAAGAGGACATGCTGGCTATGCTTCGAGATGAAGAAGATACCCAAGACAAAAAAATTCAGTCCGTCATCAGCGAGGAGGATCTTGAGAAGGTGTTGGATCGTAGCGAACTCGTTGCCACTAACCCTGCAAAAGCAGACGGTAAGCCGGAGATTTTGGTGGTGCCGACCGCCACCGGAGGAATGCTGTCAACCGTTAAGAGCATCACCGTTTGGACGGCAAATTGCCGTTTTAACTACTCCAATGGGACGCCAATTTCATTTTGCCGGTCGCTTCATTTGGACGGCAAATATGCCCTGGTTTGGGACACCAAAAAGGTGGTCCTCACCCATCATCCATTAATCCATTGAATACCTATTTTTTATTTAATAAATATCACAAATATTTACTTTTAAGAGGTCTTTCGTGAGATGAATTGATTACTAATTATTTATTATTATAATATTTATTATAAATTATAATTATTGTTATTAAACATAATAAAAAATAAAATATGTTATTTTAATGTGAGGTCCACAAATTTGGTGTGATTAGAGTTGAATTTTTTTAATGTTGATGAGTCCACCATATTTAGGGTCGTTTACCAAATGCTTACCGGTAAATTCAATATTATTATTTACTTACTGGGTAAGTTTTAGTCCACCAAAACGGTATTGTACACAACAATTTACCTGGTAAGCACTTACTTTGGTAAGAGTCGTCGTCCTCACTTACTGGGTAAGACTCTTGGTCTTTGTTTCGCTCTTATCGGATAAGATTTTTGGTCCTTACCATATACATCTGGTAAGGTAATGTAACTTGATGTTCACTTACTTGAATAAGCGTTTGGTAAACAGCTTTAATGTCTTTTTGGTGATATAGTTGGAGATAACAACCGATGCTATTCAGCTCTTTGGGTGATGGAATCCTTTTTCGTTCCTAAATGTAAACCCTTTTACAGGTCTATTGGGGAAGTTTATTTCTCCTACATGCATCTACGTTTTAGTGATCATGTGGGTCATCTTCTATCAAAGATGATGTGTGGCAAGAGGTGTTGTGGTTCTTTTTGGCTATTGTACAACTTTGGGGTTTGGTTCAAATTGAAGATCCGATTGTATCTGACCCGACTCTCATTCTATAAGTTCTGTTAAGGGTTATTTACCAAACACTTACCCGTAAAATTCAAGACTATCACTTACTGAGTAAGAATTTAGTCCACTAAAATGGCATTGTATGCAACAATTTACCTGGTAAGCGTTAACCGCGGTAAGAATTGTCGCACTTAGGGGCCGTTTATTAAACACTTACTTGGTAAGTGCTTAATGCATAAATTTCCTTATCGGATGAACATGAGAAGGGCCAAGAATCTTACCGGATAAGAGCAATTAGAAGGATGAAGAGTTTTACCCGGTAAGTGAGGATGATGACTCTTACACAAGTAAGCGCTTACCTAGTAAATTGTTGCATTCGATATGCTTTGATGTACTAAAAACTTCCGCATCTAAATAAATTATATTGTTGACTCATATTAGTAAGCGCTTACCGGGTAAACATTTAGGTAAACAACCCCTTATTTACCCGGTAAAACTCATGATTCGTGTGTCGTTCTTATTGAGTAAGATTTTTGATCATTACCATATTTATAGGGTTTGGTTGTGTTTGTGCAACTACATTGGATCTTAATCAAGCCCATAACCAATCCCAACGGATCCAGTCCAGATTCTGCTAACTGGTCTTTCAATAGAAAATCATAGTTGAATAGAGCCATTGATTTTTTAATTGGGACCCATTTTTTGTCTATATATAGCCTTAAGACCATATGAGACCGTTTAATTTTGGTGAGATTATTTTAGCGCTTTTGGATGAGTTTTTTTTTTTTTATCTTGTCGAATCTTTACAGTAAAACACCGAACCTTTAAACGAGAAAATCGACCTTTTATATGAACAATTGAACTTTCACATTAAACAAATCAACCCTTTAAATGAACAATTGAATTTTCACATGAAAAACTCAAAAATTCACATAAAAAAACTAAAGCAAACTCAACTGACCAAATCTTCACATAATATAAGAAATAACAGAGCCACCCATGAATAGCAATAGAACTTTGTGTGAAGTTTCATCTTGTGACATGAGTTACTACTCGTTAATTGTCTCTAATAGATTTTTTAAAATAAAAAATCAAAAATCAAAAATCAAAATCTCTAAAAATAATTAAATTTAACTTCAACATATTCTCTACTTTAGAGATTTCAACATTCATTATATTATTACAACATTCCATTAGTATATCATCCCAATACACGTTTTAAAAGGAATTTACATAAAATGATAATGATTAAATCATATAGGTGGAATTAATTTTTTTTATTAACCTGGATATTCAACCCGTTATGCGAACCGACTAATTCCGTGATGACCACCTGTTTTACAGATGGTCTGGAGTCACTGCATTTGAACCTGGCCACAAAGGAATTTTTATCCCTTATTGGATTTGAACCTAAGGCCTCCTGCCTCCTGGTACTTTTGACTTTTGGAGTCAAGCTCAAACCAATCAGGCACCACCCTTGTGGTTAGAATTAATAAAAATTAATTTTCTCCTCCACAGATCAAGTAAAAAAGAATTCTCTAAACTTGGAGTTTTCTCTAGTTTTTTCTATTTTAACGAAAGGGTATGCTATAGTTATAACAGATTAATAAATGATTTATACAAGATGTGCAACATATAGTTGCATTTTTAATCGTAAAATAGCAATGGATAAAAAAGGAAAACCCCATTAATTACAATTTACATTGATATCATACTTGTGGAATAACATACTTCCCAGCTCTTGGTGAAAGAAGGTTTTGTGAATTCAATGTTGTTAATATCTTTGGTATCGACATGCCTCCGGAGATCACAATCTCTGGAAAAATCAACATCGTTGTTAGATCAGTGTTTTCTTGATCGATATTAAGAATCTATTTGAATCTTTCTTTTAAAGAACCATTATGTAGAAATGGGAGGTTAAAGAATTTATGCAGTTTCTCAATAATTTCTCTAAAATAAAAGTTAAAATTTCCTTAAAAAATTAAATTTGGTTCTAAGAGGTTGATATTTTGAAGATTCTAACAACAATTATATTATTAAATTATTTAATAATATAAAAAATTATTTATTCCTCATTTCTTTTGGAAGTCTGGCTTTTTGTCTTGGAATAATTTTGGAGGGTTCTCCAAATTTGTAGAGAAATCTTCCCTCTCGTTCCTACTTTTTGTATTTTTAAAAGTTGTTGGAGCAAATAAAAAAGCATAACTACAAAATCTCATTTATGTTCATTTTGGAGTAACCGTGGAAGATGCTCTTACTATATATTATATATAGAGAGAGAGAGAGAGACACACACACAATGATCGTGTGAGAAGAAGAGTTAAAGTGAAAAACATGAAAAGGGATCTGAACCCTTGATCACCTTTAATCTCAAATCCACCCATGAATCGCTTGATACGGGGATTGATCTGGTGCATCTCATCTTAATGTACATCCAAGGGTGGAGAATTTTTCTTACGCTTCCCATCATAACTTCCTTTTTCACCGAAACCCAACCCTATATATGTGTGTGCATGTGTAGGGGAAAGATCGTGTGAGAAGGGAAGTTATATTGAGAAGCGTAAAAAGAGTTCTCCACCCTTGATCACTTTTAATCTCATGCCCACTCATGAATTGCGTTTTAGAAGAGAATTGATCTGGTGTACTTCATTGGTGTTGACATTCAATTAGGATTGATCCAAGGGTGGAGATCTTCTTATGCTTCTCATCATAATTTCCCTTCTCACCAGAACTCAACCCTATGTGTGTGTATAGGGGCTTAATCATTTGAGAACCCAATAAATTATGATAATCTTGAAAACTGGTGCATTGTGTGCTATTTCACGTGATTTTTTTCATCTATGGACTTGGATTTAATATATTGATAAACATATATTTGTTTCAAATGCGTTTGTTTCATATGTATTTCTTTCAGAATGTGAAACTTTTTAGTTGTATTGTTTCACAAACACATAAAAAGTGTTCATATTGTGAAACGGAATATGTGAAACAAATATATGTTAATCAATATACTAAATTCAAGCCATAGACAAGAAAAAATCACGTGAAATAGCACACGATACACCAGTTTCCAAGGTTATCACAATTTCATGGGTTCTCAAAAGAAGACCCCCCATATATATATATATATATATATAT